GGAGTTTGTTCCACTCATCCACAACTCTATTACCAAACCAGTACTTTTCTATATCCTTCCTGAATCTGAATTTTTCCAACTTAAAACCATTGCTGCGAGTCCTGTCTAGGCTAGATATTTTCAGCACACTATTTACATCCCCTTTATTTATTCCTGTCTTCCATTTATACACCTCAATCATATCCCCCCTAATTCTACGTCTTTCTAGAGAGTGCAGTTTCAGGGCCCTTAGTCTATCCTCATAGGGAAGGTTTCTGATACATGGATCAACTTTGTCATCCTCCTTTGTACATTTTCCAGAGAATTTATATCCATTCTGTAATACGGTGACCAAAACTGTGCAGCATAATCTAAATGAGGCCTAACCAAGGATGTATAGAGTTGAAGAACAACCTGAGGACTCCTATTATTTATGCTTCTTGATATGAAGCCAAGGATTCTATTAGCTTTATTGCGAACACTTATGCACTGTTGTCTTGGTTTCAGATTACTGCTAACCAGAACTCCTAAATCTTTTTCGCAATCCGTAATATTAAGATCTACATTATTTAGTTTATATGTGGCATGGTTATTGTCCTGTCCAACATTTAGAACTTTGCATTTGTCTATATTAAACTGCATCTGCCACTTCTCCGACCACTGCATCAGTCTATTCAAATCTTCCTGGAGTGCTCGAATGTCCTCGTCAGAATGAATTCGACGGCCTATTTTGGTGTCATCGGCAAACTTGCCGATGTCGCTCTTTATGCCCTCATCTATGTCGTTTATGTAGATTGTGAACAGCAGGGGGCCCAACACTGACCCCTGTGGAACACCGCTCGTGACGCTTCCCCACTCTGATTTCTCCCCATTTATGCAAACTCTCTGCTGCCTATTTGTCAACCATGCCTCTATCCAGGAAAAAATCTCTCCTCCTATTCCATGTGCTTTAATTTTCCTCAATAGTCTCTGATGTGGGACCCTGTCAAAAGCCTTACTGAAGTCCATATACACAATATCATATTCATTACCATGATCTACCTCCTCAAATACCTTAGTGAAAAAAGTTAATAAATTCGTAAGGCAGGAACGCTCCTTTGTAAAACCATGCTGAGATTCGTTGATTAATTTATGCTTTTCAAGGTGGCTACGAACTGCCTCGGCAATTATTGATTCCATAAATTTTCCCACTATGGAGGTTAGGCTTATTGGTCTATAGTTCGAAGCTAAGGACCTGTCACCTGTTTTGAAAATAGGTATCACATTTGCCATTTTCCACTTATCTGGCACCATGCCAGTTTGTAGTGATATGTTGAAAAGATTAGCCAAAGGTGTGCTAAGCTCCTCTTTACATTCCTTTAGAACCCTTGCATACAGTTCATCAGGGCCTGGGGATTTGTTAGGTTTTAATTTATCTATTTGCCTAAGGACCAAGTCACTTGTGACCCTAATAGTGCACAGTTTATTATCGTCCTGTTCTACATAATTTATCATTACTGGAATATCGCTGGTATCCTCCTGTGTAAAAACTGAGAGGAAGTATGTGTTAAAAATTCTACACATTTCCTTATCACTGTCAGTGAGCTGACCCGAGGAACTTTTGAGTGGGCCTATCTTGTCCCTGATCTTACTTCTGTATACCTGAAAGAATCCTTTTGGGTTAGTCTTCAATTCTCTTGCAACTTTAACCTCATAATCTCTTTTTGCTTTTCTAATTCCCTTTTTTATTTCTCTCTTTAACTGAATATATCGATTTCTCAATTGCCCCTCTCCTCTTTTGATTTGCCTATATATGCCTCTCTTTTGACCAATCAGATATTTTAATCTATTGTTCATCCATTTAGGATCATTTTTGTTTGATCTGATTTCCCTATTTGGAACATAATTTGACTGAGCAGCTAGAACTATGCCCTGGAAAGCATCATATCGGCAACCATCACCACCTACCTGACCCTTAGTCAGGTCATTCCAGTTCAGCCCACCTAAGTAATTTTTCAGTCCTATGAAATCAGCCAAGCGAAAGTCAGGGACGGAGACTTGATTGCCATTATTAGGGGAATTCCATGATATATTAAAACTGAGTGATTTGTGATCACTTTCCCCAAGCTCATCATTAACCTCAAGATATTAATTAGTGTTTCCCTACTGGCAAGAACCAAGTCAAGGAGGTTATTTCCCCTAGTTGGCTCTGTCACAAACTGTTTTAAAAAACAATCCTGGATCGTATCAAGAAAGTCACCTGACTCTAAATTTCCTGTCAAATTGCTCCAGTCAATCTGTCTATAGTTGAAATCTCCCATTAGCACAACATTTTCGTATGTAGATGCCTTACAAATTTCGTCCCATAGAAGTTTACTGCACTCCCTATCAAGATTTGGGGCCCTGTAAATCACACCCAAAATTAGTTTTTCTCGGCCCTCGAGAAGCTGTAACCAAACAGATTCAGTGGCTGACGCTTCTAATTTAATATCTTGTCTAACACAACAATTTAAATTGTCTCTGACATACATCGCTACTCCACCACCTTTCCTGTTGACCCTGTCAGTGTGGAATAATTTATAGCCTTGTATGTGACATTCAGAGGGCATCTCTCTATCTTTCAGATTGAGTCAGATGCAGCAGAGAGGGAGGTTATTTTTCAGAGATGTGTGATGTCACTATGTTTAGTATATTCATTAATGTGGTTGTAAATGAAGTGGGATATTGGCTGTTTGGTTTGAGGTTATTTATACAATTATTACAGTATTGCAGTAGTCTGCATAACAGTAAATCTTCTATTTTTTGTTTGAATAAAAATTCAAAATAGAAAGCAAGAGTAATATCAGAGGGGCTTGGAGACGTGACTGATGAACAAAGAAAATGTTATTTTAGAGTCAGGAATGTCTGCATTGTTCATTCTGGACCTTATTTTGAAATTGTCACATTTTTTAATTTTCATGAAAATGGCTACATTGCAAATTTCTGACCACGTTATTGGGTAGTTGAAATCGGTAAATGGGCAGTTTCTTGTACTCAATTGATAGAAAAAATGGAGTTCTAAAGAAATAGCTATGAGTTTGGTCGACTGGAACAATGGAATTAGCCAAAAATAGGGCTCAAAGTGGGTGAAATATCCGATTTATAAATATCGCCGAGGTCGCTAACTTCGCGAGAGCGTAATTCCGTCAGTTTTCCATCAAATTTTGTGTTTTTGGTGTCATTACAATCGGGAAAAGATTCTCTATCATTTCATAAGAATTTTTTTTTTTTTTTTTTGAAATTTTGCAACACCAGGAGACACTTCAGGATTGGGGGTTGCGACAGTCAAGGGGTTAGACACATTATGTATATCTACCTTGACAAATAAATTTGTTTTCAGGTTTGAACACAAATGGAATAGGTAGTAGCTTACTTAAAGCAGTAAAGAGTTTTTGGTATGGATTGCAAGGTGTAGGGTAGAACATGCAGCAGAGAGGGAGGTTATTTTTCAGAGATGTGTGATGTCACTATGTTTAGCATATTCATTAATGTGGTTGTAAATGAAGTGGGATATTTTCTGTTTGGACTGACATCTAAACTGTCGTATTTGGGCACCTCTGCAAAGACAGTGATTATATGTGAATGATGGCAAAAGTGTTCAGTGATGGAGAAAACCCTGCCTCAGTGGGAGAGAGCCAATGTTAAAAAACTAGTGAATGCTAGGGTGTTAGGGAGAAGCCCGAGATTGAAAGACAATGAATATGGTATAGAGTAGTAGTTGTCACAGCTGCTTTTTCCTAATGATGTGGCTATCTTGGGAGATTTGGAGGAGAGGTTGCAAAGATTGTTAAGCGAATTTGAAAGGGTATGTAAAAGGAAATAAGCTTAGGAAAGAGTAAGGTGATTAGAGTATCAAAAAAAAAATAGTCAATGAGAGTCAGGTGTTAGACTGGACTGAGGGAGCATGGAGGAACTAAACATATTCAGATATTTGGGAGTGGACTTGTCAACAGATGGTTCTTATGAAAGATGAGGTGAACAATAGAATTAACAAAGGTGAAAAGGTGGAGGCATCTGTGGATACAAAGAACTTTATCCACTGAGCCAAAAAAAGGAATGTACCAGAGTATAGGTGTGAGTATGAGTGTGAAGCATGGGTTTTGAATGTTGCAGTGAGGAGGTGGTTGGAGGCAGGAGAAATGCAGTGTTTGAAGGGCAGTGTGTGGTGTGAATATTTTGCAGAGAACTCAAATATTAGAGATTAGGAATTGGTGTGGAGTTACCAAAAAAATTTTCAGGGGGATGAGGAGGGGCTGCTGAGGCAGTCTGGACATTTAGAGGATGGAGAAAAACAGAATGACTAGGAGGACATATAAATCTGGTGTGAAGGGAAAGAGGTCTAGAGGTTGGAGGGAGAAAGAAAAGGGGGTTTTGAGTACTAGGAGCTTAAATATGCAGTAGGTTTGTGTGAATGTGTTAGACAGTGGTAGTAGGTTTTGAGAGTTAATGTGCTGTTGGAGTGTGAGCAAGGTCATATTTATGAAGGGATTCAGGGAAACCAGTCAGCTGGATATAAGTCCTGGATGTGGGAAGTAACAGTGCCTGCACTCTGAAGGAGGGGATGTTACAGTCTGGAGAGTCATTTGAACTGTAATGTTGGTATCCTTTTGGCAAGGCAGTGATTGAATGAGTGACAGAAATATGCATTCTTCTTTGTCAGGTCACCTTACTTCTGAGGAAGATGACAGGAGTGTTAAAAAAATCAGGTAATCTATAAAAATAATGAGGTAAGAAACTGTTTACTTATCTACAAATGTGTGTATATGTCTAGGATGGATGGAAGATGATGTAGGGGTCACTCACAGCATCCAGCATGAAGATATGTACCAACATGTTATATTGGAACAAATTAATAATATTAAATTCAAGGTAGAGTGCTAAACCCATAGAGTCATGTCAAGGGAAATAGGAGGCATTCTGATTTGATCCAAAGAAAAGAAGGGCAGGTAACATAGAAATATTCATTTTCGTAAAAAAACTAAGATGGAAATACAATTTCTTACCTGAACCGACAAGTGTGTATGTAAATTACAGCTTTATTCAAGTAGTGCATAGCTACTGCCAGTAGTATGATCTCAGCCAGCATGCATACAGACCACAGCATCCCACTGTATCTCTCAATGTGGGTTGACCAAACACTCGTCTTGACCTACAGAATATTGATATGTATAAACATTTGTAAACTTCTGACGATATACTGTTTTAGAAGCTTTAGAGTACAGCCTCTCCTCACTTAGTGACGTACTTGTTTACCGATAACTCGGATTTACGATGGGCTCTCTGGCCAGTATGCATACCTAAATAATGTATATTAGAGCTGATTTCCTCTATTCTGTTTATTACAATATACAGTACACTACTCTATAAACATTTAAAAATATACTAAAAATGTTATAAATGGTGCAAGGGTGACATTAAAGCAATATCAAAGATGGTTAACATAAACCCAATACCATTATAGTATGCTCCTTCGTTTATCGACGAGGTATTAGGAACGAAACTCTGTTAAGCGAGGAGAGGTGTACTGTAATTACAAGATGGCTCGGTGATGCAAAATAATGCACTGATACATTAATCACAATCCCTGCCACTTTCGGCATTTCATTTAAATTTTATCAAGATAAATAGGACAAGAAATGCTAATACGCTGATACATTAACAGTACTGAAAATATTTACTTGGTAAAAATTCAGTTTTTTATTGTCATACAATATTTAATTCATGAATGTGATGGTCTGTACAGCAACACTACGGTTCATAAATAATTTTGTCTTAATGACAATGCTATTTCAATGTCACATAATGGTAAATGTAATCAATATTGTTAGATAATCATCAGAAAATCTGATTACCAACTTTAAATAATATACAAATATACACAGATTAATTTTAAAAAGAAAGCACAATCTTTGATGATTTACCTTGACTCCAGAAAGGGATGGGAACTCTGCCAGCAAAGTAACTGCTGTGTACAATTGTGTTTGAGGATGGTAGAGGGCAAAGTCAGTGACCACTGCTCGTGTTGTGTTTTCATCTATCCAGTTGCTAGACTGAAGAACCATAAGCATAAGCAAACTACTAAAACGGGAGGTGGCTAGAGACTGTTTATATGAAGTGTAGCTGTAATGACCATACTGTCCATAGGTGATAGCCAGGAAGTGTGCATCCCATTCATATTCTTTATCCTTAGTAGATTTGAAGCTGAAAAGGTGGGCTACTTCATCCACATAATTTGGAAAACAAGTCTTCACTCTCAAGAGGTCTGCCATGGACCTATTGTTACTGATTTTAACCTTACTTGCATCACATTCCTCAGAGCCAATGTCATATTTACGAATTCTGGGCATTCCAATGATAATGCTGTTTGAGTCACAAAAAATGTTGTACTGACTGAATGTTTTGTCAGAATTATAAGTGAGTGCAAGAAGTTCTGAATATGCCCACTTCCACCAATCTTCTTTACTTTTAATATCCTTAAATCCCATATAGGTTTTATCTTTTTGTTGGTTGCAAGAGTCACTGTTTGAACCTATGCTCTTGCATGCATCTACAAAACGAGCTGATTCTAGACATGACCCATTCTCTAGAGATGAATATATAGACCAATTTAGTCTGTAGCGCTCTTCCACATTAACACTGCTTGCAATTATTATTAACAATGTTAATAACAGCAGATGCCCTATGCTGTTACAAAACAAGCTAGAAACATTTTCTTTTCTCATTTCCTTCTCTCGGCACTTCAAGAGATAGTCTTCACTCGGTGGGTGTGAGTATCTTAACTCCCTTGTCCTTTGTCGCTCCTCCAGCACTGAAAAAAAATTACATCTTTACCTAATACCAATAACAGCGAAGTCTACATTATGCTATTTTCTAATGAAATTTTTTTTTTCTACAAACTGGCCATATCCCGAGGCAGGGTGACCTAAAGAGAAAAACAAGTTTTTCTTTTATAAGTTTTGTAATTTATACAGGAGAAAGGGTTACTAGCTACTTGCTCTAATGAAGTATATCATCTTTAAATTATTTAGCACATGGATTACTAACATTTTTCTAATATGACTATCCTTGTAGGTACAGTGGTCCCTCAATAATCGTCCATAATCCGTTCCTGGAAGTGGGACTACTATCGAAATGGATGATTTACGAATCAATTTTCCCCATAAGAAATAATGTAAATTCAATTAATCCATTCCTGACACCCAGAAGTATTAAAACAAAAAATTTTTTTACATGAAATATAGATGTAGTACATAAACAATACCATGGGAAATGATGAATTAAACATTAACAGAATAACACTTACCTTTATTGGCGATTCTTCTTTGTGTATAGAAGACTGAAGAAGGAAACAGATTGGATGATTTACTGTTTGGAAGGGAAATTCCCTTCCATCAACACCTCGGGTACCAATTGCTTTTCTGGGGTTACTTCTCTTCTCTGTTTCTTAATGCCAGTAATGTAGGTCCTCTTTGGCATTTTCTTCCAAAAGAGGCCTGTTTCATCACAATTGAACACTTGTTCAGGTTTCAGTCCTTCACTGTTTATGTACTCCTTGAATTCATGCACATACTTTTCAACCGCCTTGTGGTCCGAGCTGGCAGCCTCACCATGCCTTACCACACTGTGTATGCCAGTACACTTCTTAAATCTCTCAAACCAGCCTTTGCTGGCCTTAAATTCACTCACATCACCACTAGTTGCAGGCAATTTCTTTACCAAATCGTCATGCAACTGCCTAGCCTTTTCACAAATAAGCGACGTCATAAGACTATCTCCTGCTAATTGTTTCTCATTTATCCACACCAATAATTTCTCAACATCTTCGAGTACTGGTGATCTCATTTTGGTCAGCATATTTACCCCCTTTGCAACAACAGCATCCTTGATTTCCTTTTTCTTGGCTATGATGGAAGATATGGTTGTACGGGATTTGTTATACATCGTCGCCAGTTCGCCCATACGTACGCCACTATCATATTGTTCAATGATGTTTTTCTTAAATTCAATCGTATTTCTCACCTTCTTTACCAAAGGCTTGGCACTAGGAGCTTTCTTTGGAGCCATGGTAGCTTATTTATCACTTAAATAACTTGCAAGCACTAAAATAAATGGAATATTATGAAATATTTCGCTGGAGCACGTGAGGGGACCGTCGCTCACTGGTAAACAATGGCACACTGGCTGGGAAGGAAAGGCCGAGGCGGCTCAGAGCGTGAGTACGTGTCCGGGACGAAGGACTATTAGCGAGTTACCAGACCATTTGTGAGCCAATATTTTGACGAAAAAGCAGGACTATTTTCGAAATGGACGACTTTCAGGCCGGACGATTATTGAGGGACCACTGTACTTGACTACAGTGGAATCTCGGTTTTCATATACTCTAGTTTGTATGTAAAACTGTAGTTATTCTCTATAAAATGTAATTTCTGTTAATATTTTTGGGTGTCTGGAATGGCTTAATTGGATTTACATTATTTCTTATGGGAAATATTAACCGAGGTTCTATTGCAACTTAAAATTTCTGTCACTTTTCAAATACTCAGGATATATATCAGGTTCTTAATTTAATTAAACAGAATGTTAAAGTTGCTAAATACTTTCATTCATAGTTTCTTGTGTACCATTAAATATACAATTCTAGAAAAAAATTATGACTTACTCCAAATGTGTTATGTTTCAGATTAGGTTAGATTTAAAAGTCATTCTCTCTTAATAATCCTTGTATCCACCCATTTATTTTTTAAATAAGTATACAGTGAAACCCTGGGTTTTGGCCACCCTGAGAATCGGCTGCTTCAGGTTTCAACCGCTTTTTCGGGCAAATTTTGTCCCGCGTTTCGGCCGTTGCCCCGGGTTTCGGCCAGCATACCAGACCTGTCCGCACAGGCACTGTGAGCCAGTCTAGCGTTGTTTATCCTTGAGTAAACATTACCCTGCGCTCTTATCCTGCCAGCCAGGCAGCCATCCATCCATCCATCCAGCCAGCCAGCCATTAATTGTGACTGTGAAATAAGTCACCATGGGCCCTGTGGTAAAGAAAGCGAAGAACACCGTAGCAGTGAAGAAGGAGATAGTAGAAGAATATGAGTGGCATTCGTGTGGGGGAGCTTGCCAGGATGTACGGCAAAAACAAATCGACTATCACTTCTATCCTGGTGAAGAGAAAAGAACTCAAGGAAGCTAATGTTGCGAAAGATCACAAACAGTCGAAGAGGTTGAGAAGTTGTTGGTGGTGTGGATCAACAATAAACAGATAGCAGGTGATAGTGTTTCAGAGTCGATCATTTCTGAAAAGGCAAGGCAGTTGCATTCCGATCTTATAAAGAAAATGCCTGGAACCAGTGCTGATGTTAGTGATTCAAAAGCCAGCAGAGGCTGATTTGACAGATTTAAGAAGCGTAGTGGCATACACAGTGTTGTAAGGCATGGTGAGGCAGCCAGTTCAGATAAACAAGAAGCTGAAAAATTTGTGCATGAATTTAAGGCGTACGTAGACTCTAAAAAATTCAAACCCCAACAAGTGTTTTGGAAGAAAATGCCAAAGAGGACCTACATTACTCAGGAGGAAAAGGCACTGCCAGGGCACAAACCTATGAAAGACAGGCTAACTCTTTTGTTCTGTGCTAATGCTAGTGGGGATTTTAAAGTGAAGCCTTTACTTGTGTATCACTCAGAAAATCCCAGAGTGTTCAAAAAATCAATGTCATCAAGAATAAATTGTGTGTCTTGTGGAAAGAAAATAATAAGGCATGGGTCACAAGGCAAATTTTCAAAGTGGGTCCATGAAGTGTTTGGCCCCAGTGTGAAAAAATACCTCATGGAAAATAATTTGCCACTCAAGTGCCTCCTGGTAATGGACAATGCTCCTGCTCATCCTCCAAACTTGGAAGACCTATTGTCTAGGGACTTCAGTTTCATCACAGTGAAGTTCCTGCCTCCTAACACTACTACTCTCCTCCAGCCCATGGACCAGCAAGTCATTCCTAACTTCAAAAAACTCTACACCAAAACAATGTTTGAAAGGTGCTTTGAAGTGACCTCAGACACTCAGCTGACCCTAAGAGAGTTCTGGAGGAAGCACTTCAGTATCCTCCATGGCATAAGCCTTAGAGGTAAGGCTTGGGAGGGGTGACTTCTAGGACTTTGAACTCTGCTTGGAGACAATTGTGGCCACAATGTGTCATCCAGAGGGATTTTGAAGGGCTTGAGGCTGACCCTGACCCTGTTGACCCTCTGCCTGTTGTGGAGTCTATTGTGGCATTGGGCAAGTCCATAGTGTTGGAGGCAAGTGGTAAGGATGTGGAAGAGTTGGTGGAGGACCACAGGGAAGAGCTACCACTGACGAACTGCAAGAGCTTCTACTGGAACAGCATCAGACCACAGCTGAGGAACTTGCTTTAGAGGAGGAGGAGGAAGGAGTGAAGGCAGTGCCTTCTTCAGTGATTAAGGACATGTGTGCAAAGTGGAATGAGTTGCAAACTTTTGTTGAAAAGCATCGCCCTGACCAAGCTGAAACAAGCCATATCTGCAACATGTTCTGTGACAAAGCCTTGTCCCACTTCAGGAAAATCTTGGAGATATCAGAAACAGAGCACTCTTGACAGTTATTTTGTGCAACAGGGGTCCAGTGACTCTCAAGCTGGTCCTTGTGGCCTTAAAAGACAAAGGGAAGAAACCCCAGATAAGGACTGGTTACCTAAAGTCTTTATGGAAGGGGATTCCCCTTCCAAACAATAAGTCCTCCCTCTCTCCTCCTCCCTATCTTCCAGATGCCAGCAAGTATCTTTATAAAGGTAAGTAAATGTTATTTTAAATGTTTATTTAAATTTTAATTTATGTATTGTGATAATAAAAAAAAAAAAAAAAAAAAAAAATATGTATTTATCTGTGTTGTATGTAAAACTAAAGTTCATTCTTTCTTTCAACACACCAGCCGTATCCCACCAAGGCGGGGTGGCCCAAAAGGAAAAACAAAAGTTTCTCCTTTTACATTTAGTAATATATACAGGAGAAGGGGTTACTAGCCCCTTGCTCCTGGCATTTTAGTCGCAAAACTATAGTTATTCTTTAAAAAATGTATTTTTTGTGGAGATTTTTGTGGGTCTGGAACAGATTAATTGTATATACATTATTTCTTATGGGAAATATTGCTTTGCCTTTCGGCCATTTCGAGTTTAGGCCTAGCTCCTAGAATGGATTACAGCTGAAACTCAGGGTTCCACAGTATATGAATTTAACTATTTTGCATTTTAATACAAGTAAAGAATAAAAAAGCACATATACTCACATTTCTCACTGTCCATAATGTTTGCTGAATGAACTTGTTCCAATAAAACTGCTTGATAACGGTTCCAAATAGCTACCACCTGGTCAAGTGGGATGGTCACACAGGAGCTGATGCAGCCTCGGCATCCTAGCCATCGATACATACAAACCTGGTGAATAATTTATCTATCAAAATGCTGAATAAATAATTAGCCCAATTTCATGCTCTACAAGTACAGTAGTCCCCCCAAATTCGTGGGGATTATGGACTGATGAAGCCACTGTGTGGCGAAATGTTTCCTGAATAAAGATTCCCATATGCTGCACAGGCTGTGATGGAAATGAGGGTCATCAGGCCACCAGCATTAACAGCCTGATTGACTAGGTAATCAGTCTTTCATATGAATGATAATATTTACCAGATCAGAGTATTAAAGAATATTTTCTTTTTTATTAACACATCGGCCGATTCCCACCAAGGCAGGGTGGCACGAAAAAGAAAACTTTCATCATCATTCACTCCATCACTGTCTTGCCAGAGGGGTGCTTTACACTACAGTGTAAAGACACTGTACTTCCCATCTTCAGGACTCAAGTCCGGCCTGCCGGTTTCCCTGAATCCCTTCATAAATGTTACTTTATTCACACTCCAACAGCGCGTCAAGTATTAAAAACCATTTGTCTCCATTCACTCCTATCAGATACGCTCATGCATGCTTGCTGGAAGTCCAAGCCCCCTTGCACACAAAACTTCCTTTACCCCCTCCCTCCAACCTTTCCTAGGCCAACCCCTACCCGTCTTCCCTCCACTACAGATTTATATACTCGTTATTCTGTTTCGTTCCATTCTCTCTACATGTCCGAACCACCTCAACAACCCCTCCTCAGCCCTCTGGACAACAGTTTTGGCAATCCCACACCTCCTCCTAACTTCCAAACTACAAATTCTCTGCATTATATTCAAACCACACACTGCCTTCAGACATGACATCTCCACTGCCTCCAGCCTTCTCCTCACTGCATCATTCATCACCCATGCTTCGCACCCATATAAGAGTATTGGTAAAATTATATACTCTCATACATTCCCCTCTTTGCTTACAAGGACAAAGTTCCTTGTCTCCACAGACTCCTAAATGCACTGCTCACCCTTTTCTCCTCATCAATTCTATGATTCACCTCATCTTTCACAGACCCATCTGCTGACATGTCCACTCCCAAATAGTACCTGAATACATTCACCACCTCCATACTCTCTCCCTCCAATCTGATATCCAATCTTTCATTGCCTAATCTTTTTATCTTCATAACCTTTCTCTTTCCTATATTCACTTTTAATTTTCTTCTTTCACATACCCTACCAAATTCATCCACCAACTTCTGCAACCTCTCTTCAGAATCTCCCAAGAGCACAGTGTCATCAGCAAAAAGCAACTATGACAACTCTCACTTTGTGTTTGATTCTTTATCTTTTAACTCCACACCTCTTGCCAAGACCCTCACATTCACTTCTCTTACAACCCCATCTATAAATATACTGAACAACCATGGTGACATCACACATCCTTGTCTAAGCCCTACTTTACTGGGAAATAATCTCCCTCTTTCCTACATACTCTAACCTGAGCCTCACTATCCTCATAAAAACTCTTCAGTGCTTTCAGTAACCTACCTCCTATACCATACACTTGCAACATCTGCCACATTGCCCCCCTATCCACCCTGTCATAAGCCTTTTCCAAATCCATAAATGCCACAAAAAACCTCTTTAGCATTATCTAAATACTGTTCACCTACATGTTTCACTGTAAACACTTGGTCTACACACCCCCTACCTTTCCTAAAGCCTCCTTGTTCATCTGCTATCCTACTCTCCATCTTACTCTTAATTCTTTCAATAATAACTCTACCATACACTTTGCCAGGTATACTCGAACACTTTTTTTTTTTTAACAAGTCGGCCGTCTCCCACCAAGGCAGGGTGACCCAAAAAGAAAGAAAATCCCCAAAAAGAAAATTCTTTCATCATCATTCAACATTTTCACCTCACTCACACACAATCACTGTTTTTGAAGAGGTGCTCAGAATACAACAGTTTAGAAGTAAATACGTATAAAGATACACAACATATCCCTCCAAACTGCCAATATCTCAAACCCCTCCTTTAAAGTGCACGCATTGTACTTCCCATTTCCAGGGCTTAAGTCCGGCTATATAAAATAACCGGTTTATCTGAATCCCTTCACTAAATATTACCCTGCTCACACTCCAACAGCTCATCAGGTCCCAAATACCATTCGTCTCCATTCACTCCTAACACATACACGCACGCTTGCTGGAAGTCCAAGCCCCTCGCCCACAAAACCTCCTTTGCCCCTACCCCGCCTTCCTTCCCCTACAGATTTATACGCTCTCCATGTCATTCTACTTTGATCCATTCTCTCTAAATGACCAAACCACCTCAACAACCCCTCTTCTGCCCTCTGACTAATGCTTTTATTAACTCCACACCTTCTCCTAATTTCCACACTCCGAATTTTCTGCATAATATTTACACCACACATTGCCCTTAGACAGGACATCTCCACTGCCTCCAACCACCTCCTCGCTGAAGCATTTACAACCCAAGCTTCACACACACATACGAGTGTTGGTACTACTATACTTTCATACATTCCCTTCTTTGCCTCCACAGATAAAATTTTTTGTCTCCATATATACCTCAATGCACCACTCACCTTTTTTCCTTCATCAATTCTATGATTAACCTCATCTTTCATAAATCCATCCGCCAACACGTCAACTCCCAAATATCTGAAAACATTCACTTCTCCATACTCTTCCTCCCCAATTTGATATCCAATTTTTCTTTATCTAAATCATTTGATACCCTCATCACCTTACTCTTTTCTATGTTCACTTTCAACTTTCTACCTTTACACACACTCCCAAATTCATCCACTAACCTTTGTAATTTTTCTTTAGAATCTCCCATAAACACAGTATCATCAGCAACAAGTAACTGTCACTTCCTATTTTTTATTTGATTCTCCATAATTTAATCCCACCCCTTTCCTGAACACCCTAGCATTTGCTTCTTTTACAAACCCATCTATAAATATACTAAACAACCATGGTGATATTACACATCCCTGTCTAAGACCTACATTTACCAGGAAGTAGTCTCCCTCTCTTCTACATACCCTAACTTGAGCCTCACTATCCTCATAAAAACTCTTTACAGCATTTAGTAACTTGCCACCTATTCCATATACAGTGGACCCCCGGCATACGATCTCATCGCCTTACGTTAAATCCGGCATATGATACATTTTAATGCAAAAATTTTGCCTCGCCTCACGTTAAAAAACTCGCTTCACGCGATTCGTCCAGGACGCATCCCACACGTGGCCTCAGCGCCAGTGTTCACAAGCCAGTCAGTGCGGTTGCATCTACGCATACATTCGGTACATTTCACATTATCCCAGTGTTTTTAGAGCTTGTAACTACAAAATAATTAGGTAGTAGGTTGGTAGACAGCAACCATCCAGGGGAGTACTACCGTCTTGCCAAGTGAGTGTGAAACGAAAGCCTGTAATTGTTTTACATGATGGTAGGATTGCTGGTGTCTTTTGTCTGTCTCATAAATATGCAAGATTACAGGTACGTCTTGCTACTTCTACTTACACTTAGGTTACACTACACACACATGTACAAGCATATATATACACACCCCTCTGGGTTTTCTGCTATTTTCTTTCAAGCTCTTGTTCTTGTTTATTTCCTGTTATCTCCATGGGGAAGTGGAACAGAATTCTTCCTCCGTAAGCCATGCGTGTTGTAAGAGGCAACTAAAATGCCAGGGGCAAGGGGTTAGTAACCCCTTCTCCTGTATATATTAATAAATGTAAAAGGAGAAACTTTAGTTTTTCCTTTTGGGCCAACCTGCCTCGGTGGGATACAGCCGGTGTGTTGAAAGAAAGAACTACAAAATAAGTCACCATGGACCCCAAGAAAGCTTCTAGTGCCATCCCTGTGGTAAAAAGGGTGAGAATTAGTATAGAATTGAAAAAAAGAGATTAGGGAAATGTGTGCCAAGTGGCTTGAAGTGCAAACCTTTATGGATGAAAATCACCCTCACACAGCTATTGCAAGCCGTGCTGGTGACTATTACAATGACAATGTTGTGAACCACTTTAGACAAATCATAAAGGAACGAGAGGTTGAGAGTTCTATGGACAGATATGTTGTGCGACAGAGGTCCAGTGACTCTCAAGCTGGTCCTGGTGGCATTAAAAGAGGAAGGAAAGTAACCCCAGAAAAGGACTTGATACCTCAAGTCCTAATGGAAGGGGATTCCCCTTCTAAACAATAAGTTTGACACTCTCCCCTCCTCCCATCCCATTAATCATTACCAGATCTTCATTAAAGGTAAGTGTCATGTAAACTATTGTTAGTAGAGTACTACTAACTGTGCATGTCTTCTTCAGTTTGTGTGCATTAAACTTAATATTTCATGTGGTAAAACTTTTTTTTTTTTCATACTTTTGGGTGTCTTGCACAGATTAATTTGATTTCCATTATTTCTTATGGGGAAAATTAATTCGCTTTATGATAATTTCGGCATACGATGAGCTCTTGTACACTTCAGGCAAGAAAGCAATTAAATGACTGGAGGTAACTGCCTTTCCATACCTTGGTGGTGGATGGCCAATGTGGCAAAAAAAAAAAAAAAAAGAAATCCTCAATGCTCAATCAGAAAATAGTGTATATTAAAGCAACTTTGCACACTTCCATCTACAGTATTTATAAAATTACCTACAGTTACTTTTTGCTGATGATACTGTGCTTATGAGAGATTCTAAAGAAAAATTGCAAAGGTTAGTGGATGAGTTTGAGAATGTGTGTAAAGGTAGAAAGTTGAAAGTGAACATAGAAAAGAGTAAGGTGATGAGGGTATCAAATGATTTAGATAAAGAAAAATTGGATATCAAACTGCGGAGGAGGAGTATGGAAGAAGTAAATGTTTTCAGATACTTGGGAGTTGAAGTGTCGGCGGATGGATTTATGAAGGATGAGGTTAATCATAGAATTGATGAGGGAAAAAAGGTGAGTGGTGCGTTGAGGTATATATGGAGTCAAAAAACATTATCTATGGAGGCAAAGAAGGGAATGTATGAAAGTATAGTAGTACCAACACTCTTATATGGATGTGAAGCTTGGGTGGTAAATGCAGCAGCGAGGAGACGGTTGGAGGCAGTGGATATGTCCTGTCTAAGGGCAATGTGTGGTGTCAATATTATGCAGAAAATTCGGAGTGTGGAAATTAGGAGAAGGTGTGGAGTTAATAAAAGCATTAGTCAGAGGGCAGAAGAGGGGTTGTTGAGGTGGTTTGGTCATTTAGATAGAATGGATCAAAGTAGAATGACATGGAAAGCATATAAATCTATAGGGGAAGGAAAGAGGGGTAGGGGTCGTCTTCGAAAGGGTTGGAAAGAGGGGGTAAAGGAGGTTTTGTGGGCGAGGGGCTTGGACTTCCAGCAAGCGTGCATGAGCGTGTTAGATAGGAGTGAATGGAGACGAATGATACTTGGGACCTGACGATCTGTTGGAGTGTGAGCAGGGTAATATTTAATGAAGGGATTCAGGGAAACCGGTTATTTTCATATAGTCGGACTTGAGTCCTGGAAATGGGAAGTACAATGCCTGCACTTTAAAGGAGGGGTTTGGGATATTGGCAGTTTGGAGGGATATGTTGTGTATCTTTATACGTATATGCTTCTAAACTGTTGTATTCTGAGCACCTCTGCAAAAGCAGTGATAATGTGTGAGTGAGGTGAAAGTGTTGAATGATGATGAAAGTATTTTCTTTTTGGGGATTTTCTTTCTTTTTTGGGTCACCCTGCCTCGGTGGGAGACGGCCAACTTGTTGGAAAAAAAAAAAAAAAAAAAAACTACAAATTCATGCAGAGGTTGGTGAATAAATTTGGTAGGGTATGTAAAAGAAGAAAATTAAAAGTGAATGTAGGAAAGAGTAAGAGTATGAGGATCACAAAAAGATTAGGTGATGAAAGATTGGATATTAGATTGGAGGGAGAGGGTATGGAGGAGGTGAATGTATTCAGATAGTATTTGGGAGTGGACATGTCAGCGGATGGGTCTATGAAAGATGAGGTGAATCATAGAAATGATGAGGGGAAAAGGGTGAGCGGTGCACTTAGGAGTCTGTGGAGACAAAGAACTTTGTCCTTGGAGGCAAAGAGGGGAATGTATGAGAGTATAGTTTTACCAACGCTCTTATATGGGTGTGAAGCATGGGTGATGAATGTTGCAGCGAGGAGAAGGCTGGAGGCAGTGGAGATGTCATGTCTGAGGGCAATGTGTAGTGTGAATATAATGCAGAGAATTCGTAGTTTGGAAGTTAGGAGGAGGTGCAGGATTGCCAAAACTGTTGTCCAGAGGGCTGAGAAGGACTGTTGAGGTGGTTCGGACATGTAGAGAGAATGGAACGAAACAGACTGACTTTAAGAGTGTATAAATCTGTAGTGGAGGGAAGGCGGGGTAGGGGTCAGACTAGGAAAGGTTGGAGAGAGGGGGGTAAAGGAGGTTTTGTGTGTGAGGGGCTTGGACTTCCAGCAAGTATGCATGAGCGTATTTGATAGGAGTGAATGGAGACAAATGGTTTTTAACCCTTTGAGGGTTTTCGTCGTACTAGTACGTCTTACGCGTAGGGGTTTTTGACGTACTAGTACTCATAAATTATAGCGGCCTCAAATCTAGTGGGAGAAAGCTGGTAGGCCTTCATATGAAAGAATGGGTCTATGTGGTCAGTGTGCACAGTCTAAAAAAAATCCTGCAGCACACAGTGCATAATGAGAAAAAAAAAACTTTGACCATTTTTTTTTAATAAATCAGCGACTTTGCAGTGTATTTTCATATGGTATTTATTGTTGTATTCTAGTTTTCTTGGTCTCATTTTATAGAATGGAAGACATATTACAGAAATAGAGATGATTTTGACTGGTTTTACAAAGAAAGGTACCTTGAAATTGAGCTCAAAGTAGCAGAAATGTTCGATTTTTACCAAACTTCAAAAGTAAACAAATCGTGCCAAGCGTGCAATACACGTCAACTGGTGAGTCTAATATTCTTTCACAAGTGCACCAATAATATTTATACCATTTTTTACACTAATGCAGTAGTCTGCATAACAGTAAATCTTATATTTTTTGTGAAAATAAAAATTCAAAGTGGAAAGCAAAAGAATATAAGAGGGGCCTTGAGACGTGAATAATGACTAGAGGAAATGTCATTTTAGTGCCAGGAATGTCTTTCTTGTTTATTCTGGACCCTATTCTGAAATTGGCATCTTTTGAAATTTGTGTGAAATTGGCAAAATTGCTAAATTCTGACCACTGTACTGGATAGTTGAATTTCATAAATGAGTGGTTTCTTGCACCCATTCGATAGAAAAAATGGAGTTCTAGCGAAATATTCATGTTTTGTGTCGACTAGTACAGTGAAATTGGCCGAAAATGGGGCTCAAAGTGGGCAAAATCGCCGATGCGTAAACATCGCCGAGACCGCTAACTTTGCGAGAGCATAATTCCGTAAGTTTTCTATAAAATTTCAAACTTTTGGTGTCTTTATGATCGGGAAAAGATTCTCTATCTTTTCATAAGAAAAAATAATTTTTTTTTTTTTTAAATTTGGCCGACCCTGAGAACGAGTTTCGGAGAGGGCCTGTCGACCCTCAAAGGGTTAATACTTGATGTGCTGTTGGAGTGTGAGCAAAGTAACATTTATGAAGGGACTCAGGGAAACCGGCAGGCCGGACTTGAGTCCTGGAGATGGGAAGTACAGTGTCTGCACTCTGAAGGACGGGTGTTAAAGTTGCAGCTTTATAAACTGTAGTGTAAAGCACCCTTCTGGCAAGACAGTGATGGAGTGAATGATGATAAAAAATTTTCTTTTTCGGGCCACCCTGCCTTGGTGGGAATCAGCTGATGTCTTAATAAAAAAAAATAAAAACCTACAGCTTTATTTCCACATCCTCAATTTTAGTTGACCTGTAATATTGCAGGCACTCACCTTATACAAGGTGTAGATGACGACAACAAGAGGCTGCATGATAAACACAGAGAAGCATAGTGTTATGTATATAATGTGAATCCACAAAGATCCATAATCCATGGGCATCCCTGACCCTCGTACAAACAGAACCATACAGCACAGAGCTGAAAAAATCATAGACAGGTAAGAGAGCTATAAATTCTCAAACTAAATATACAGGGCTCTAAATTACAGTGTAAATTATATACTGGACATATTTACTACCCACAGCTAAAAGAAACTGAAGTAATATTTATCTGGACTCATGGCCTAAAGAAAAGCATACAAAATATCACAAAGTTTATGCTGTTTAAGCATGGAATAAACAAGATAGATTTTCCTGATTTGCAACTGATAAATTCCACTAACTCTCAGTAGGGGTTCCCTATCAGTTCCCTTTACAAAGGCAAGGATTGTGGTGTTTATCCAAGATATGGCTCTAATTTTGAAAAATGTAATTTCACTCATGCTGATAAAAATCTACTTTTAACATATCTTGATGTGCTGTTCCATAAACCAAGAAGTAAAAATTTCAGCTAACATGCAGATTACATTCCTGAGAAATTGGCACTTTAACAGAAATAGCATTAACTGCATATGGAAAAATGAGATTACTTTCCTTGGACCTCCAAAAAATGCTTCATTTTTTTTTTAAAATAGCCTAAAAACCACAAGAAAATATTACATTTTCCTTAATTCTAGTCACTGTTACTTATTGATACACAAGTGTGTGGAAAGGATTGGTGTGGCACTTTACAATACCTGTACAAACATGGTTAGGTAGGTAACACTCCTGCCTCACACACTGAGTGTCTGGGGTTCAATCCCCAGCCGGGTGGAAATGTTGTGTGCGTTTCCTTGCACCTACTGTCCCTGTTCACCTAGCAGTAAGTAGGTACCTGGGTGTCAGTCGACTGGTGTGAGTCTCATCCTGGGGGACAAGACTAAAGGACCGCCCCACTGGAAATAAGACTGATAGTCCTCGATGACTCACTGACTTTCTTGGGTTATCCTGGGTGGATAACCCTCTGGGTTAAAAATCCAAACAAATCTTAACTCTTAATACACTATATCTTTTTGGGAAATAAAATTATCATGAGGAAATGTGTGTAGTGAGTTTGGTGTATTCCATTTTATTTTTTGCACCATTTGCCAAGAAAAAAACCCTCTGAACAAAATAAAAATAGCTTTAACATCAGTCACAAGGCAAATGTAAAGAAAGTTTAAGCTTAAACTGCATTTTCTAAGCATCCTTTTTTTTACATCAATAAGAAAGTATTTATACTCACCAGCAAAGAAACAGCAAACTATCCACCCAACACATTGAGAAAAGATAAAAGTGATGCTGGATGTCACTCCTAGTTCATCACTTTCTAAGTCATCATCATCATCATCATCATCTACATCTTCTTCAGCATCCCAACCATCTTCCTCCAATTTATTTCTCTTTTTACTTTTCGATCTCCTGTTCTTTGCCACAAAGTGAAGGATGTAGTTAAATGTCTTCCTCAACTCGGAGAAAAAGCTCAAAATAGTTGGGGAGCATTTTTTAGTGTTTGTAACTTCATGTTGATGATTTATAATCCTTGTTATGTTTGCTGGGAGTGTTGTTGTGGTTGGTGTTTCATGAGTGTTGCTCATCAACTCAGCACTGCCAAGATCATGGTCGGCCTCTGATCTTGCTCGCTGTGTAACCTGCATGTTATCTTGGCCCTGAAATAATGCCGAATGCAGCTCTCCGTTTAAATTGGAGAGCTCTGTTGTCTGAGCCCAATTCACTAAATTCCTCCATATCTTTGCATTAGTATCATAAATATCATGAGCTGGATCTTCACCATCATCTTGGCCATTTTGGTTTCTATCGCTGGTTGCTGGAGGTGACATTTCTTTGGAAGCTCTGAGTGTGTCTAACACAGCTTTAGCATTATATTCTTTCTCTTCCTGAAACAAAAATTTGCTTTAATATTATTTCTTAATTTTTCTAGCCTAAAATTACTGTAGATATATTACTAGCTTGTTAATGCATGTTACATGTACAGTTCACAGACCAAAGCTGCTAGTAATAAGGCAAACTGTTTGAAAATATGATACTAACCAGTCTATTGCTCATTTTGAAAGCCATTTCCAGCAACCACTGGACTGGTAACAAAAGTAAAGCAATGATGCCACCATAGTAGAGTGATTCTATATGCATGTCTGGCACCATCATTGTATGTTCAGTGTTGATTTTCTGCAAAGTACATATTTAAATGCTTAATACATTATTGATTCTACTGCATAATGTTTATGAAATTGTTTTAACCATACTGATCATATCTCACCAAGGTAGGGTAACCCAAAGAAGGGAACACATTATCACTCATTCAGTAGCTGTTTTGACCGAAGTGGACAGATATTACAATTCAGATGATCTCTGACCTGCAACATCCCCACCCATCCTTCAGAGTGAAGGCAATACACATCCCATCTCCAGACATCCTCATGCATCCTTCAGAAAGCAGGCACTGTACTTCGAATCTCCAGAACTCAAAACTGGCTAAAGGATCTCATTTTTGAGTTGAAATGAAACTCTCTGATCCTAATTGCATAACTCACCTGTACCACACCAAGGGAGACTGTGCCCATGCAAAGGCATACAATGAGGCATATGGTGAGTCTCTGAAGACGAAACAGCTTGGCTGTGCTAGAGGTAGTTAGCAGTGAAGTCCATAACATGTGCTCACTGGCATACTGAGGCAGGAAATGCTCAAAATCCTAAAATTTACAAAAAATAATGTAGCAATTTGCAGAAAAAATTAATCAAACTAAAATAAATTATTTTACTCTAGTATATGATACAAAACTGAAATGTTATTTTTCTCATTTTTATAATTTATATAAGATTCAAATTTTCCTTGTGTTTTAAATACAAAGAGCTACTAGAATTCCCATTCTGTATAAGAATCAAATGACATACCTGTAAAAATGTTGTAGGGCTCTCTAGTGTAATCTCCCTCTCCACCTTGGCATCCTCGGCTTGAACTGACAGCCATCGGTAGCATGGGTATGCATACCTGGCCCCCAGCACAAGGTCACCCACACTTGTTTCACACACATACCACCCAGAATCACTTCCACTATTGTCATGCCATAACTGAACCTTCAGGATGTCCCCCAGTGGCTCAGCAGTTCTGTTAATATTTAGAGATACACAAAAACCTATATTACTGGATTAGAATTTTAAAAATTCCAGCTTGAAGCTATTTGTTTTACAATTACCATTTTGTAAATAACTTATTTAATATTATCTGGAAGTTACTGACAGACTAACATATATTGCAACTTTCTACTTTTAATTATCATTCACTCTACAATACTTACGTCAAAATAAAGGTACAGAGAGCCCCGCGTGTAAACAACTGGCCAGTCTGCTTTGACTGCAGCTCTCTGGTTTCACTCATCCCATGTGTTCCATGCAGAATGGCATACACCTGAAACCATTTACAAAATTCAGTGCAACTGTACTTCAGTACTATACAAATTATATCAACACAATTGAAAATATTGCTACTGTTAATTTATTATTATTATTATTATTATCACACTGGCCGATTCCCACCAAAGCAGGGTGGCCCGAAAAAGAAAAACTTTCACCATCATTCACTCCATCACTGTCTTGCCAGAAGGGTGCTTTACACTACAGTTTTTAAACTGCAACATTAACATCCCTCCTTCAGAGTGCAGGCACTGTACTTCCCATCTCCAGGGCTCAAGTCCGGCCTGCCGGTTTCCCTGAACCCCTTCATAAATGTTACTTTGCTCACACTCCAACAGCACGTTAAGTATTAAAAACCATTTGTCTCCATTCACTCCTATCAAACACGCTCACGCATGCCTGCTGGAAGTCCAAGCCCCTCGCACACAAAACCTCCTTTACCCCCTCCCTCCACCTTTCCTAGGCCAACCCCTACCCCGCCTTCCTTCCACTAGAGACTGATACACTCTCGAAGTCACTCTGTTTCGCTCCATTCTCTTTACATGTCCGAACCACCTCAACAACCCTTCCTCAGCCCTCTGGACAACAGTTTTGGTAATCCCGCACCTCCTCCTAACTTCCAAACTACGAATTCTCTGCATTATATTCACACTACACATTGCCCTCAGACATGACATCTCCACTGCCTCCAGCCTTCTCCTCGCTGCAACATTCATCACCCATGCTTCACACCCATATAAGAGCGTTGGTAAAACTATACTCTCATACATTCCCCTCTTTGCCTCCAAGGACAAAGTTCTTTGTCTCCACAGACTCCTAAGTGAACCACTCACCCTTTTCCCCTCATCAATTCTATGATTCACCTCATCTTTCATAGACCCATCTGCTGACATGTCCACTCCCAAATATCTGAATACATTCACCTCCTCCATACTCTCTCCCTCCAATCTGATATCCAATCTTTCATCACCTAATCTTTTTGTTATCCTCATAACCTTACTCTTTCCTGTATTCACTTTTAATTTTCTTCTTTTGCACACCCTACCAAATTCATCCACCAATCTCTGCAACTTCTCTTCAGAATCTCCCAAGAGCACAGTGTCATCAGCAAAGAGCAACTGTGACAACTCCCACTTTATGTGTGATTCTTTATCTTTTAACTCCACGCCTCTTGCCAAGACCCTCGCATTTACTTCTCTTACAACCCCATCTATAAATATATTAAACAACCACGGTGACATCACACATCCTTGTCTAAGGCCTACTTTTACTGGGAAATAATTTCCCTCTTTCCTACATACTCTAACTTGAGCCTCACTATCCTCGTAAAAACTCTTCACTGCTTTCAGTAACCTACCTCCTACACCATACACCTGCAACATCTGCCACATTGCCCCCCTATCCACCCTGTCATACGCCTTTTCCAAATCCATAAATGCCACAAAAACCTATTTAGCGTTATCTAAATACTGTTCACTTGTATGTTTCACTGTAAACACCTGGTCCACACACCCCCTACCTTTCCTAAAGCCTCCTTGTTTATCTGCTATCCTATTCTCCATCTTACTCTTAATTCTTTCAATAATAACTCTACCATACACTTTACCAGGTATACTCAACAGACTTATCCCCCTATAATTTTTGCACTCTCTTTTGTCCCCTTTGCCTTTATACAAAGGAACTATGCATGCTCTCTGCCAATCCCTAGGTACCTTACCCTCTTCCATACATTTATTAAATAATTGCACCAACCACTCCAAAACTATATTCCCACCTGCTTTTAACATTTCTATCTTTATCCCATCAATCCCGGCTGCCTTACCCCGTTTCATTTTACCTACTGCCTCACGAACTTCCCCCACACTCACAACTGGCTCTTCCTCACTCCTACAAGATATTATTCCTCCTTGCCCTATACACGAAATCACAGCTTCCCTATCTTCTTCAACATTTAACAATTCCTCAAAATATTCCCTCCATCTTCCCAATACCTCTAACTCTCCATTTAATAACTCTCCTCTCCTATTTTTAACTGACAAATCCATTTGTTCTTTAGGTTTCCTTAACTTGTTAATCTCACTCCAAAACTTTTTCTTATTTTCAACAAAATTTGTTGATAACATCTCACCCACTCTCTCATTTGCTCTCTTTTTACATTGCTTCACCACTCTCTTAACCTCTCTCTTTTTCTCCATATACTCTTCCCTCCTTGCATCACTTTTACTTTGTAAAAACTTCTCATATGCTAACTTTTTCTCCCTTACTACTCTCTTTACATCATCATTCCACCAATCGCTCCTCTTCCCTCCCGCACCCACTTTCCTGTAATCACAAACTTCTGCTGAACACTTTAACACTACATTTTTAAACCCACCCCATACCTCTTCGACCCCATTTCTGTTAATGTGTCCATTTTTTTTTTCCAACACTTCATGCAACTATTTTTTTCCATAGATTAGATAACATGGTTGTTACTTATAATATATTAAGAGATTTCAGTTCCATGATGAAGAACATAATGACAATTTTTTTCACAATTGTGATTACACCTGCATTTTAGGTGCTATTATGGTGGACCAAATATACCTCATTTTGGTTAATATTTACTTTATGTCCTGGTCAGAATTCAGCCAATTTTATATAATAAAATAAAAGCAAGCTATCCATACCACATAAAAAAGTTATTGCTATAATTATTGTTGATAAATTAGACACATGCGCAACACTTGGGTATCTTTAATGAGGAAACGTTTCGCCACACAGTGGCTTCATCAGTCCATACAAAGGAGAATGGTGAAGAGCAGGAGTAGTTTGAGGTAATCAGTCCCTCAGTCCCTTGAGGGACTGATTACCACAAACTCCTCCTGTCCTTCACCATTTTCCTTTGTATGGACTGATGAAGCCACTGTGTGGCAAAACGTTACTTTTAACTTTAAACTTTAAATTAATTAGGGTGCTATCTCAGGTGCTAAACTATCTTATTTTCATTGTTTTACTTTTATATTCAGTAGCTCCATTATTTTTAGATTTAAAATAATTATCTTAGTCCGTATGTTCATATTTGTTAGTGGTTTAACAACAAATGTTTTTTGTTTTTTTTAATAATTGTAACAGCTTATTTCTCTACATACCCCTTATAAATGCAATTATCAATCCTGATATCAACCTCTTATTGAACTGCACAAATAATCCTAACAGTAATTGCCATTATTACACCGCTCGTCAGGCTAATACCCTCCTCAGCGCCAGCAAGAACGTTACAGTCTTTAACTATAATGTTAGATCATTGCGTAAACACTATGATGACCTCCTTGCATTACTGAAGTCTCTAAATGCTACTATAACTTTCATTATACTTACTGAAACCTGGCTCAGACAAGATTTGACAGACAAATTTACCATACCTGGTTACACAGCCATGCATAACTGCAGGCTTGACCAACCAGGAGGAGGCACTGCCATCTATTACTCTGATGAACTAGAATATATGAAATCAATTAATGTACAGGACGAAAACAGCGAATATATCATAGCTAAATTCACATCAAAAACCCTTAAGAAATCTATAACAGCTGGTGCAGTATACAGACTACCACACACAAATACTTATACTCTTAGCAGTAATCTTAGAAACATGATAATTGAGTCAGAGTTGAATAAACACCATCTGATACTTGCAGCTGACAGTAATAATATTAATAAAGATGTCAAAATTTTTTTACATAAAACCCTAAACCTCTATAACAAGCATTGTCCAATCAAAACGAAACAGATCACAGAAAAGAGACTAAAAAGCCCATGGCTAACAAAAAGTATCCTCAAATCTATTAATAAAAAACACCAATTTGAAAAAGAGTTCAGATTAGGCCTAATTACTAAAGAATTAACTAAACAATACACATCAATACTCGCAAATCTAATAAGAAAATCAAAGCAAATGTATTATGAAAACAGATTTCGTGAAATAAAAGGTGATATGAAAAGTACCTGGCAAACCCTCTCCAAAATTTTGGGCTCTACAAAACTGTCTGGAAATAGAGAGATAAACTTAACTAAACTAGATGAACCTCATATTCAGCCTATAGACACAGCCAACAAATTTAATGTCTTCTTTTCTACTGTAGGAACAAAGCTAGCAAGTCAAATTCCTAGCTCAAATACCCAGCCAAACGAGTACCACACTGGCAGCTAGCCAAATAGTCTATTTCTAGCTCCAACTAATTCCACTAAAGTCTCACTCGTCATTAAATCATTAAAAAACAAAGCAGGTGATCTAGATAACTTGCCACCATTCATATATAAAAAAGATGCACATGAGCTGTCACCCATTATTGCAACAAAGTTTAACAAATCTGTAGCATCCTCAACCTTCTCATCTATACTCAAGACAGCATGGGTCACCCCAATCCACAAAGGAGGTGATCCAACTGACTTGAACAACTATAGACCCATATCAAACTTGCCCTTACTTTCCAAGATATTCGAGAAAATAATATACAAGAATCTTTACTCCTACATTACATCCAACAACATACTTAACCCATGCCAGTTTGGGTTTAGACCAAAAAAAAGTACGAATGACGCTATTATACAAATGCTTGAACTAATATACACAGCTCGTGATAAAAATGAATATCCTCTGGGACTCTTCATTGACCTATGAAAAGCATTTGATACAGTTGACTACAATCTCTTCCACCTGAAACTGAATCATTATGTAATCAGAGGACATTCTCTTGACTACCTAAAATCCTATCTTAATGACAGACACCAGTATGTATATGCAAATGGAGTCGAACTCCGCTGTCCAACTTGTAGCTGTAGGAATGCCCCAGGGTAGTGTCCTAGGCTCACTCCTCTTTCTCATCTACATCAATGATTTCCCCAATACATCCCAACTCCTTAAACCAGTTCTATTCGCAGATGACACTACATATGTCTACTCCCATTCAGACCCAGCTGTACTTAGAAACACTGTAAACAATGAACTGTTAAAGATATATACTTGGATGATGACCAACAAACTCACTCTCAACATAGACAAAACATACTTCATGCTGTTTGGCAAAAGAGCCTTAGATATCCAACTAAACATATTGATAAATGGTTCCCCTGTATCAAGACACACAGAGGGCAAATTTCTAAGTCTTCTCCTTGACTGTAATCTTAAATTTCAGTCTCATACCCATCACATAGCCAAGAAAATTTCCAAATCAGTAGGAATCCTTTCCAAGATACGATACTATGTACCACAAACGACACTCCTTACCCTGTACCACTCTCTAATATATCCTTACCTCACCTACAGTATTTGTGCCTGGGGCCCAACCACAGCCAACCACCTTAGACCCTTAATAACCCAACAAAAAGCTGCTGTGTAGGTGATAACCAGCTCCTGTGCTAGACAACACACCCCACCACTTTTCAAAAGACTCAACATGCTAAATATACAAGACATACACTCATATTATTGTGCCTACTACATATACAGAACATTAAACTCCACTGTAAACCCTCCCATAAAACTACTCCTTGACAGTTACAACAGAATGCACAGTCACAACACAAGGCATAAGGCAATTTTTAACATCCTTCGAGTCAGTCTCTCACTATGCAAGAACGCTATGCACAAAGAGCCTGAAGATCTGGAACTCGCTACCGGAATAAGTCAAGGATCCCCTGACAACTTATAAATTTAGGACTTTGCTAAAAAATCATTTTATCTCTCAATATTAACCAAATCAACCAAAACATCTGCTAACTAGTTTTATTATGTGACCTCTAGGTTTTTAATTCTGCCAATCCATAAAATATTACCACCTGAACCATTACTTGGAAGATAGATTTTATGTGCAATTTCAAGGTTATTTTACCAAACCCTACTCCACCTTACTACCTCACATTTGTAGTAAGTTTAAAGAAGATTGTAAAACAGTTAACCACTACTTCTTGTCTAGTTTTAAGTATAGTTACTATGTACTGTTCCTAGGTAGTAGGTTGGTAGACAGCAACCGCCCAGGGAGGTACTACCGTCCTGCCAAGTGAGTGTAAAACGAAAGCCTGTAATTGTTTTACATGATGGTAGGATTGCTGGTGTCCTTTTTTCTGTCTCATGAACATGCAAGATTTCAGGTACGTCTTGCTACTTCTACTTACACTTAGGTCACACTACACATACATGTACAAGCACATATATACACACCCCTCTGGGTTTTCTTCTATTTTCTTTCTAGTTCTTATTCTTGTTTATTTCCTCTTATCTCCATGGGGAAGTGGAACAGAATTCTTCCTCCGTAAGCCATGCGTGTTGTAAGAGGCGACTAAAATGCCGGGAGCAAGGGGCTAGTGACCTCTTCTCCTGTATATATTACTAAATGTAAAAGGAGAAACTTTCGTTTTTCCTTTTGGGCCACCCCGCCTCGGTGGGATACGGCTGGTGTGTTGAAAGAAAGAAAGACTATGTACTGTTATCTTATCTAGTTTTAATTAGTTACTATGTATTAGGATTAGTTTGCCCAAAATGCCTCAGCATGATAGTGGCTATTTTTGTACTTAGCAAATCAAAATTGTAATTACACATTGTAACCTTTACAAAGAAATAAACTTTACTTTACTTTACATTAAAGATACTCAAGTGTTGCATGTGCCTCTAATTTATCAACCTGTCGGTTCTCTGAACCATTTATCTACATAATTATTGTTATTGTTAGTTTGGCAAATATTAACCCTTTGACTATCGCAGGCCCCTTTCTGAAACTGTCATTCTATGTCGCAAAATTTTTTGAAAAAAAAAAAAAAAAAGTAACCACAAACTGCTGTGCCATTAGCAATCATTCACTTACCCTAGATTTACTTACACAAATGCTGAATGTGTTAGTGATTGATATTAGTGAGGACAGTACAGTGGGTAATGAAAAAGTGAGGGGATAATCTCATGGCACCGCCACAATAAATGTTTGTGCTTGAAGGTCACAGTATGTATCATATATATATATGAATATATATTCTTTATCACCACAGGAGTCTCAGGAAAGCACACAAATGTGATTAGTCAATTCCTGCATACCAGTCAATACATACAGTGTTTTTATATCCTCTGCATCATCTGTGCTAAACTGTGAGGATGCTGAAGGCAATGTTTATATGCAAATTGAGAGGGAATTTATTAATTGACTTCCATTTAACAGATTTTAGCAATTCTGGATGAGAAAAAATTGGCTGGATGAAGGTTGGAAGCCTCAAAGAGGAAAACAAGGCTAGAAGCATCAGGCAATATACTAGGAAAAAATCTGTAATTCCAGATTTTGTTTATAGCAGTAGTGCGCAGTTGTCTTCTGAAGCATCGGACCCAGTCTGATGACTCGGACATTTGTCCTGTATGGGCCAGAGTGGCCACAAGCAGGATACATCTGTTTTCATTATTCCCTGAGCCATAGGCCACCTGGGCCAGTTTATTGTCTGCACTCACACACACACTTGTCATTCAGCTTGCAGTTCTCCCTGGATTTACAGTGTTTTGTGTGACTATTAACACATTAAGTAAAGTGCAGTTAACAGTGTCTTCCAAAGCAAGTACTGGCCCCAAGGTGCAGCTCTCGGTGTTAAGCAGAAACTTGAACTAATAAAGACAGCCGAGTCTGGCACATCTTCTCAATCATCTACAATATTTGCAGCTCCTCTAACTCACAAAGATATTCGAAGTCACTGCATGTTTACATCTCATCTCCACTACAAAATGTAATTACAATTACTGTAAATTATGTAGAGTACTATAAAATTACTACACAGCACAGTACTGTACTGTGGTACTCCAGGTTACAATCTGGTTAAATCTTGGTTAAATTATCACAGCTATAATGGGCTGTATTTTTAAATACAAAACAAATTATATAATTTATACAAAGAATAATTACTGCAACAATCTTCACAAATTATTTTATAGACCAACAGAACAATTTACCTTTTTTGCTCCTAAAAATATGCAAGTAAAATAAGACAAATGTCTTACCCGGGCAGTGGTACCAGCATTCCACTGAGTACCGGTCTTGATGGTCAGTAAATATGCCCATTCGTGCTCTGGCTTGTTGTCACGCAGCCAAATATTTCGTCGTCTGAGACGGTGTCTGTCAGATGTCTGCAGTGCCAGTGCCAACATAAAATAGACAACCAAGAGTAACACCATGAAATAGAGGGCCAGATATGTCTCACGAAGCATTAGTTCATTGACATTGACTTTACTCTCTTCATCCAGTATAGGAATGGCCTGGGCTCCATACACTGAGTAGTATGACTTGCAACTGTAAGAGAACATTTGCATTATTAATTAACAGATTTGTGGCAAAAGATATGTTTACCAAAATCACTAGCAGAGTACTACATTTTTTTTTTTTAACGCGGCAGCCATTTCCCACCAAGGCAGGGTGACTTAAAAAGAAAAACAAAAATTCTTCTTTTTAGATATAGTTGTTACTGAATTCCCTTGTGATATACTCGTGTAGTATGTCGTAGGTGTATCACCATATTACAGTGTATATATAGGGGCCCCTATCCAGCTAGGCTCAATGGCTACCATGTGTGATGTCACGCAGTGACGCATGTGAGCGGTTGCCTCCAGGCCTCCCTCTCAGTTCCAGTATAGGCACAGGCAAGAACAGGTAGGCTGGGCTATACTCCCCTCAAGACTCTGCCAATATACGTGTTATCGACCATCCCCATGTGTATTTTTTCACCACCTTATCTCCTAGGAACCCCGTAGAATGAGAGGAGATATCAATGAAGTATATAATTGGATGATGGGCATAAACAAAGGCGATATTAATAAAATACTGAGGATATTGACTCAGGTAAGAACCAGGAATAATGGATTTAAGTTGGATAAATTTTGATTTTTCAGGTAGTAGGTTGGTAGACAGCAACCACCCAGGGAGGTACTACCGTCCTTCCAAGTGAGTGTAAAATGAAAGCCTGTAATTGTTTTACATGATGGTAGGTAGGATTACTGGTGTCCTTTTTTCTGTCTCATAAACATGCAAGATTTCAGGTACATCTTGCTATGTAAAGTAAAAGGACACAAGTGCAACTAATGTGACATTTTATTGTGGCAACGTTTCACTCTCCAGGAGCTTTATCAAGCCATTACAAACAATACATGGACACAGAGGGTATATAAAGGCTCAGAGTGAGGTGCAATACTAGTATTGTGTCCATGTATTGTTTGTAATGGCTTGATAAAGCTCCTGGAGAGCGAAATGTTGCCACAATAAAATGTCCCATTAGTTGCACTCGTGTCCTTTTACTTTACATACTGTCGGTAATTCTACCAACTTTATTACATCTTGCTACTTCTACTTACACTTAGGTCACACTATACATACATGAACAAGCATATATATACACACCCCTCTGGGTTTTCTTATATTTTCTTTCTAGTTCTTGTTCTTGTTTATTTCCTCTTACCTCCATGGGAAAGTGGAACAGAATTCTTCTTCCATAAGCCATGCGTGTTGTAAGAGGCGACTAAAATGCTGGGAGCAAGGGGCTAGTAACCCTTTCTCCTGTATAAATTACTAAATTTAAGAAGAGAAGCTTTCGTTTTTCTTTTTGGGCCACCCTGCCTTGGTAGAATACGGCCGGTTTGTTGGAGAAAAAAAAAATATTAGATTTAGAAAGGACACAGGTAAGTACACCTACCATCCGACTTACGACCGAGTTTGGTTCCAACTAACTGGTCGTAAGTCAAAATGGACGTAAGTCGAACCTTACTACTGAATATCAGCATCACATTGTTTGATTTTGGTATTTCATTTTTTACTTTACTTTTTATGCTGTTAGTACTGTATTTTATACCATAAGGTTTAGGAGAAATACTGTGTACAACACAAACAGTTGTTTATTTCCCAGAATATTTGCATACAAAACATGGTCGTAAGTCGAGTGGTCGTATATCGAGCAGGTCGTAAGTCGGATGGTAGGTGTATTGGTTTTCAGAGTGGAACAATCTTCAGAGTAAGATAATTAAGGCTAGGACCCTGGGAGGCTTTTAGAAGAGACTGGACAAATATATGAGCAGGAAGGGCTGGATTTGACTGCTGTCGTGGGTAGAGTAAAATCTTGGGTAGCTTTGGGAAAGGGTGCTTTTGATAAGACCTGCCTTGTATTGACCAGCAGGCCTTCTGCAATGTTCCTCCATTCTTATGTTCTTATGTTAGCCCCTTGCTCCGGTGGCCTGGTAGCAAGATCTGGGAGACAAGATTAAGGACCCCAATGGAAATAAGTTAGACAGTCCTCGATGACACACTGATTTTCTTGGGTTATCCTTGGTGGCTAACCCTCCGGGGTTAAAAATCCCAAGAAAATCTTATCTTATCTTATGGAGGAAGGATTCTTTTCCACTTTCCCATGAAGTCAGAGTACTACATAACACAATATAAATGATGCCGAGTCTTACCTGCATGATGTGTAATCCCAGGATGACTCCTTGCCCAGGACAGAGCAGTTCTGGGCATGCCACTGGTTGTCTCCCCACACCAGACATTGTGACCACCAACCACTCACCAAGAAATCAGCACCTATCTCACTTGAGTTGTATCTTGCCCTGGATTTTTTTAAAACAGTCTATAATATCATAAAAACACTTGTTCTTAATTTTATGGTACTCATAAATAGAACCATCTTACATATACTGTATGTATTTCTATTAAATTTACTTTTCCAGCATTAACAAAATCCACTACACACCTATGGTATATTAACATCTACTGTATTTAATTTGAAAATGCAAATGAGAATTTAAACTTACCAATTATTTTCATAGCTATTTTTATCCATGATGATGAGCAGTTTCTTGCCGTGAGTCAGCTGGTGTGGTGGTACCAAGAGTGACACCTGTGAAGGCTCATCTGTGGCTGTTAGTTCCACCTTGTATACCGGCTCCTTCAGGCTCTGCATACTGTTGCTGTCAATAGATAATCACAGTCAACTTCTTTTCCTTTTACAACTGACATCCATAAATGCCTTTCAGTACAAGGTACAGGTCCACATCCCTTTATCCGAAACCCTTGGGGCCAGTAGTGTTTCAAATTTCAGAATTTTTTGAATTTCAGAATGAAGGTGGGGTCTAGGGCATCACCCCATAATCAAACATTTACACTGTAGCAAAAATGTATGAATATTCACACTAAGTGGGATAAATAAAGACTACAAATACTACTATGGTTTATTTATAGAGTATTATACTGATAAATGAAATAGTAATGGGATAATTAAAGACCAGGAACATGATTCTCAAGACGACTGACAGACGGCATTTCTAAAGACTTCTCCAAGTGTCATCTGTCTTATTAACATAGGTTTTTGTCTAAGCAATCTCTCTTTAATTGAGTAAACTGCCATAATCTCTTGCTCACTGATAAATGAATGTTGTTCAAGGCCACAATTAAGTGATCACACATTTTCACCATATCGTCTATGGGGACTTTTTCACCTGTGTTCAAAATGTTATCATCATCATCCTATTTTTCATTAGTTTTTGGTCATCACTGTCACTATACTTCAATAACTTGTCTTTCTGTTTCTTTAAATCATAAACGGTGGTAATTCCAACACCATATTCGTCAATAAGACACTGCACTAACACACCACGGTCAAGCTTCTGCAGTAACTCTACTTTCTGCATTATTGATAACGTCAGATGCTTTCTTTTCTTTTTCTCACTGTTACCCATAGGGGTATCTGCAGCTCTTTTTGACATTTTCACAGTGAAATTAAACACAGTCACAAAATAAAAAGCAAAAGCAAAATATCAGTGAACAGCAGATGCACGTGTGAACACTGCAAGCACTGAGACACAACTGATGCCTGCCACTCTGGCTGTCAGTGCTGGGTCACGCCACCATGTGGCGGCGTTGGAGTTATGTAGAGATTACTGATGCTCCACACTCCACAAAAAAACTTCGGTTTTCAGAACTTTTCAAATTTCAGAATTTTAGATAAAGGGATGTGGACCTGTAGAATGAACACAAAGCTAACGTAAAGATTTTATTTCTGGACTAAACCTAACTTAGAAACCTCACCTAACCTAACAGATTAATTTTTTTTAACTAAATTTCTCAATTGGCTGAGCATCATATTTCTAAGGCCATAAAAAGTTAATACTGGTGTAGACAGCTTGTACTGTCTGCCAGCTTAGTTCATATTTCGCGCCACTCAGATGCTGCCCTCTGTAGCCAGGCCTCTCGGTGGCCACTTCAGCCTGCCTGGCCTTGCCACACACTCACTCACACAGCGGCCTAGCAGCAAGACACAAGTACTCCCAGCTCTCTCTCGTGGGATGGCCCTGCCCGGGCCATGGGCACAAACACACAAGCCTGTGTACCCACCACGACCTTTCAATAAAGTAAGAAGCCTCCGAAGACGTATCATTTACTCCCCGCTACCATACCAACCAAACAATCCTTTTTATAAATGGTGGAAAGCGGTGATCGCAGCAGTTGTGTTTGCCCAGAGAGAGGAAGGAAGGTATGAAGTCATCTTCACTTCATCATCCTACACAACAAGCATCCGTCTCTCAACGAGTTATCCTGACGTCGTGTCTGCACGTTTGAGCATCCAGACACAGGTACAAGCAGGATCCAGGCCGAAATTTGCCGAAATTCTCCGAGAGTTGTAAGTGACCCCACGCTACAGTGTCCCACGCTGTTTCTCAAGTCACGTGTTCAGCGTCACTTGTATGTTGCTGTCGTTGTTCAGCTCAGCACAGCTGTTTCAGTAAGCCAGAGGTGAGTTTCGTGGTGATTTCTGCGTCCAGTGTGAGCTTCTGCACGTGTTTGTGGGTGGGGGAGGAGGAGAGGAAGTGGCTGTTCCTCACCTTGCCCATGCTCGCCCTACTCACGCTCACCCGTCTACCATACACTCACCACTGCCCACTCCCTCTGCTGTGTTTTCTGCTGTTTTTCGTGTGATTCATTGCCAGAGCTGTGTATCTGAGTGCCCGAGGCCACTCGAAGCTACGTGGATCAGCATGCCACGTAGATCACGACTCCACGTAGATCACGACGCCACGTGGATCACGACGCCACGTTGGGTGTGGGCGATGTCACGTGGATCTACCAGCCACGTGAGTTACCAGATGTCCCAAGCCTCATGCTGTGGTCTGCTGCCCGCATCACATCGACGTCACCCACGATGCTGCCTGACTTCATGACGTCACGATGTCTGCCTGACGTCACCTCGAGATGTCTGCTGACATCACAGTGCTGCTGACGTCACCTCGCGTCATCACGCCTGACATCACATGATGTCACCATCGAGTGTTCAGTAATTGTTTCAGTATTGTTGAGAAGATTGAGAGAAGATATACAGTGGACCCCTGAATAACGATATTTTTTCATTTGAGAAGTATGTTCAGGTGCCAGTACTGACTGAATTTGTTCCCATAAGGAATATTGTGAAGTAGATTAGTCCATTTCAGACCCCTAAACATACACGTACAAACGCACTTACATAAATACACTTACATAATTGGTCGCATTGGGAGGTGATCGTTAAGCGGGGGTCCACTATGTCGTGTTAATTAATTCCTCTCAGTCAGTGTTCTCACATTTTAGTATGTCTTAGTGTCAGTTTTATACACAGAAAAGCATCATTTGCTAGTTTAAGCCATGTTGTACCGAATGTACCGCGGGTGTGTTCAAGTTTCCGTGTGTCCAGTGAGGTCTGAGCCAGACCTGAGTAGCACCAGTGTGTTAAGTCACCCGTGTGACCAGCGCGTTTGACAGCTGATTACTCAGCCCCCGAGTGACCGAGCCTCTTGTACAGAAAGCTTTTATGCTCGTCGCTCGTGATGTTCTGCAAAATCGTACCTGCTATGATTCCCATCGAGATTTGTTTCACTTCACCTCCAGACCATCAGGATGCAGTTATATGTAGAGAAACAAGTCTGGGGACGCTTAGACTAACCTCTGCTATAACTCCAACTGTCGAGAGAATGACACGCTGTGTCAGCCTTGTGTCACAAGCTTCAGTGAGCAGCCTGCACAAAGAAGATGTCACTTTGACTGTTAGCTCTCTCACTGCAGTCTGGTGTATGATGTTACCACTCCCAGATGTTTCGCCCAGTCGTCTCTGCCACGACTCGCTCCACAACTCGCTCCACGCTCACCGGCAGTGACAGCCCAGCGACAGTACCAGTCGAGAAGTGTCCTCCTGAGTCGCTTGCCAGAAGTCCTGCCCAGTTGCCGAGTTTTGTCGACGCCTCACTCGAGGGCACCAGCATGTGCCCCAGGTTGAGTGAAAACCTGCAGCGACTCCTACGATGACTGCTTCACCGTTCCAGAGGAGACCGTAACCTGTTACGTCACAGCTCAGCCGCAGCGATGTCTCCTGTGTTGCAGTATCTGTCCAGACGCAGGAAGGCGTGCAGTGATGCCCTTCGACGCTCACTGCCTATGACCACGATGTTCAGCACACCCCACATGTTTTTTTCTTCCCTCCCTGTAGGAAGTTTTTTTTCCATGTTCATATGTGTATATATATGTTTTATTTTGTGTTCTGTGCCCTGTTCCTACAAGAGAGAGACCGAGCTCCTTTTACCACCAGTATTGTCGCGTCGGGACGATGCTCGGTAGGTGGCCGAGCGTATGTAGACAGCCTGTACTGTCTGCCAGCTTAGTTCATATTTCGCGCCACTCAGATGCTGCCCTCTGTAGCCAGGCCTCTCGGTGGCCACTTCAGCCTGCCTGGCCTTGCCACGCTCTCACTCACACAGCGGCCTAGCAGCAAGACACAAGTACTCCCAGCTCTCTCTCGTGGGATGGCTCTGCCCGGGCCATGGGCACAAACACACAAGCCTGTGTACCCACCACGACATTTTCAATAAACAAAGAAGCCTCCGAACAAGTTTATCATTTACTCCCCGCTACCAGAACACCAAATAATCCTTTTTATACTGGTTCATTAACCCTTTGAGGGTTTTGGTCGTACTAGTACGTCTTACGCGTAGGGGTTTTTGACGTACTAGTACTCATAAATTCTAGCGGCCTCAAATCTAGTGGGAGAAAGCTGGTAGGCCTTCATATGAAAGAATGGGTCTATGTGGTCAGTGTGCACAGTCTAAAAAAAATCCTGCAGCACACAGTGCATAATGAGAAAAAAAAACTTTGACCATTTTTTTTTAATAAATCAGCGACTTTGCAGTGTATTTTCGTATGGTATTTATTGTTGTATTCTAGTTTTCTTGGTCTCATTTTATAGAATGGAAGACATATTACAGAAATTGAGATGATTTTGACTGGTTTTACAATGAAAGGTGCCTTGAAATTGAGCTCAAAATAGCAGAAATGTTCGATTTTTACCAAACTTCAAAAGTAAACAAATCGTGCCAAGCTTGCAATACACGTCAACTGGTGAGTCTAATATTCTTTCACAAGTGCACCAATAATATTTATACCATTTTTTACACTAATGCAGTAGTCTGCATAACAGTAAATCTTATATTTTTTGTGAAAATAAAAATTCAAAGTGGAAAGCAAAAGAATATAAGAGGGGCCTTGAGACGTGACTAATGACTAGAGGAAATGTCATTTTAGTGCCAGGAATGTCTTTCTTGTTTATTCTGGACCCTATTCGGAAATTGACATCTTTTGAAATTTGTGTGAAATTGGCAAAATTGCTAAATTCTGACCATTGTACTGGATAGTTGAATTTCATAAATGGGTGGTTTCTTGCACCCATTCGATAGAAAAAATGGAGTTCTAGCGAAATATTCATGTTTTTTGTCGACTAGTACAGTGAAATTGGCCGAAAATAGGGCTCAAAGTGGGCAAAATCGCCAATGCGTAAACATCGCCGAGACTGCTAACTTTGCGAGAGCATAATTCCGTAAGTTTTCCATCAAATTTCATACTTTTGGTGTCTTTATGATCGGGAAAAGATTCTCTATCTTTTCATAAGAGAAAATAATTTTTTTTTTTTTTAAATTTGGCCGACCCTGAGAACGAGTTTCGGAGAGGGCCTGTCGACCCTCAAAGGGTTGATAAACTGACTAGCATTTGCAAGAGTATTACTGCACCACCTTCCCCAATGAAATGGGTGAGGAAGACTCTTACCTAGAGTATTGTAGGAACAAAGGAACAAAGATGAATAATGACAATAAACCTACCAACTGAAAATTAAAACTTGGCATTTTACATCATCCTTACTACATTATAACACCCACCCCTAAGAAACTGTAACATCAAAGAAATCCAAAACATAATAACTAACACTATTTCAGAAAATATGTTAATACAAAAAAAATATACAAATGTAGTACCACAGTACACACTGAATGTTAGCACTTTATCTTCCTATAAAAAACTGGGAAATGTTTATCAAGCACCACAACCTGAAGCATTATATAGCCTGACCTCAATATTCTCTCGGAAACTCTTAAGCTTAATGTGTAATACTATATGAATTCAGATACTGTACTTATTATACACAAATAACCTGCTTATAGGAGAATGAAACTTATGATGTTTTGGTCATGTTACGTTTCATTCTATGTGCCGGTTATTTATATATTGTTCCAGTCTCAGTATTGTGCCTCTTTATTCGCACTGTACTTACTACAAAGTGGAAAATGAGGAACCCACAAAAGAGGAGTTATTATTTGAAGTGTTCAAGCCATGTGGGTTATATGGTGCAAAGAGTGATAAAGGCAACCCCTACATTCACTAACTGCAAGAGAAACATGCTATATTAACCTGAGGATCAAACCTTTGACCTCCCTGATAACCTGTGAGTATAATGACCCGACTATGCTGAGTTGTATCTAATATTTTTTTTTAACAAGTCCCCCATGTCCCACTGAGGTAAGGTGACCCAAAAAAGAAGAAACACCTTAATCATCACTCACTTCATCACTGTCTTGCCAGAGGCATGCCAATACTACAGTTCAAAGACTGTGACATATCTCCACCCTTCCTTTAGAGTGTAGGCACTGTACCTCCCACCTCCAGGACTCTAAGTCTGGCTAACCGGTTTCCATGAATCCCTTCAGAACTCATTTTTGTCTTAATTATAAATTGTTGATCTCTATGGGCTAACAATTAGTAAACCTAGTGTACATTATCATAAGTGTGTTAAGTTTGGCAACAAGTTCCATACATATTAGTGCTGAATGATAATTGTGCATGTCGTGAATATAATGGTGAATAATGACGAAAAAAAAAATACAGTATTGCAAATCACATTGGCATTAGTGAAGACAAGTGGGTTTCATATTGAGACATGCCGTCAGAGTGTGAGCAAGGTAACACTTATGAAGGAATTTAGAAAAGATGTAAAATAGTGCCTACACTCTGAAAGAGGGATGGGGATGTTGCAGGTCAGAAGGTCATTTGAATTGCGAGGTCTGTACACTTCTGCAAAGACAGCTATTGAATGAGTGATGCTGGATGTGTTTCCTATTTTGCGATACTCTACCTTCGTGTGAGATAGCCGGTGTATTAAAACTACCAAAATAATAAAAATACGGAATAATGTATGTACAAATGACTAATTATCAGTTCAATATATGCATTCCTCTAAGGTACCCTTTATTAAATTTTGCATTGATATTAAGTAAAAGCCCTAATTATTTAAACCTAAGAGTAATTCATCAAATCTACATTTCATGTAAAACATTATCCTGATATTTTTTATTAAAGGCAGCTCTAAGCCTAAACTTATTTCAACTCTAGCATGGCCCAATTTATTATATTTTTTTTTTTGCTAACAGTTTATCCTGCATGGACCTTAAGCAATGGATATACTGAAGTATTTCAGATGATCTTGTTAGAAGAGTAGGCCGAGCCTCCACACACCTGAAACTTTGCTCACCTAATAAAGCGAACAAAGGTCCAAAGCAAGTCTCAGGTGGGGGACGGCTGGGCTGTAAAGGGACGACGCAGATCACAAAACAGACAACGTAGATCACAAAACAGATGATGCAGATCACAAAACAGATGATGCAGATCACAAAACAGATGGTGCAGATATAAAACAGATGGTGTAGATCAGAAAACAGATGATGCAGATCACAAAATAAAGTTCATACGTTTTAGGTACAAGAGCAAAACATTCAACCTATGTTGATGCCATGGTATTTGTAAGTATGATTTTTAAATATGCCCCCCAAAATTTCTAAATTTGTTAATACTAGAAACTGTTTTTGTTTTTCCTGATGGTAGCTGCATATGTACATATAATTTTAGTTACGTATATCCATGACACTTCAGAAGGTTTCAGAACTGGGTAAAGCTTGATGAAATGTGCAGTACTCTTAACTTACACAGGTATCAGTTTCCTCTTCTCAGTAGCAATATGCAACATCCTAAACCCCCTGAAGCTTTGCTCAACGACTTAAAATGCATGGCTGGGCAAGGTTCCAGGAGGCTAGGCTATCACAATTCATTTAGGCTGGGCAGGTACTGGTTCCAGGAATCTAAACCCATTATGATTCATTGACACTGGGTTATCATACTTTGTGTTTATATTTATAAAATGAATCAGCCACTACACACAATGAAGGACAGAAAAGAGGGAGCAACATCTCATACCTGGCTACAGCTCATTGAAAAAAGGGACCTATTGAGTTATTCTTTGACTTTAACACAGCACAAATTATACAATCAGTCACTTACCAAATAAGTAATAGTGCTGCCACTGGATATTCAGAGTTCAGAACTTTGGTGATTTGCAGAAGAATGTGCAGTACTAAAGAATCATGTTCTGCAGCAACCACAAACTCATATACACTCAGAGTCTGGGGTGTGAGATAGCCTGGCCGTCGAAAGTCGTACTCATCGCCCAGAAGCAGTTGTGAGCGCTGGACTTTAACCTGAAATATATTTGTCTTAAATGCATGGTTCTCCACCTACATCCAAAAGTAAATAGCAACATCAACCAACACCTGGAATGATTTATTGAACAGTGTTCCTCGATGGGACACTAAAGGTTGTCTTTGCCAACAAGGAAAACCACAAAATTGTAAGATGTATCTCAAGTTTCTAAATCCATAAGCTGCAGCTTCAGGTGCAAGGTCCCCTGGACTGTACTAATATCAGAAACAACAATGGAACCTGGACTATACTAATGTCAGAAACAACAATGGGTCCTGGACTGTACTGTCAGAAGCAACAATGGGTCCTGGATTGTATTAATGTCATTAACAACAATGGGACCTCGATTGTACTAATGTCAGACACAACAATGGAACCTGGACTGTACTAATGTCAGAAACAACAATGAAAACTAACATACACAGGAGGCCTGGTCACAGACCGGGCCGCGGGGGCGTTGACCCCCGGAACTCTCTCCAGGTAAACTCCAGGTAAACACATCTTAATATGATTGAGAATGAATGCAATATCTAGGATTTTTCTGTTAAGTAAAGAGGTGAAAAAATACTGTAAGCATTGCTCAGTGTGTGTCAAAAAAAGAGATCTGCTTTCCCATCCTGGCTGTTCAGGTATCATGAAATGCCTGTTTTCTAGTTACAGCTGCCACCTCCAATTATGACACTGTAGGTAAGATTCTGAGTGGCTCATTTGTACAACAGGTCAATCATCACTAATCCGGCATATAAACATTCATTATTTTTGAAACTTATAAAACTGCATTGCTCTAGACCTTTTAGCAGTTCACCTGTCAACTGAATTAACCTAACAATAGAGATGCTAGCTGAAATTAGTGCAAAACTGGTGATGGAATCGGATTAGCCATTGCTGGATCAGTGACTGCCAACCTGTAATGTATAAAGAATAAAAAGGCACAATACAATCACTGAAAAAACACAAATAATCCGCACATAGGAGAAACAAACTTATGACGATGTTTCAGTCCTCATAAGTTTCTTTCTCCTATGTGTGAGGTATTTGTGTATGTGTATGTATTAATGTATAACATTATTACATACTGATGAATGAACAAAAACATCTTTTACTCAGTTTAATAAAAATTTATATTTAATTCTTGCTCATGAATGATTTTCTTTCCTGTTCACAAATATTTTTTCTTGTTCATGAACAATTTTTTTCTTAGGAATAATTTTAATTCTTGTTAATTAATTTTTTCTTCTTCCACAAACTTCCTCATGTCAGCTACTGTAATTCAGTTACAAATGAACCATATATCCTCAGGACAGTTCCAAAATGACAAAAAAAAACGAATTATAAAGGTCCGAGTGAGCAAGAGTAGCAAGGTCTAGAAACTAGTGATTCAGGGAGTTAGGCTGAAAAGGTACATTCCTGAATGATTCATTAAGATGCTTTTAATTCTTCAAACAATAATACAATATGTTAGTACAGCACTATACTTAGAGGAGAATACAGGCAGGCCCCATTTTACTGCGCTTCACTTTACAGTGCTTTGCTAATACGTACAGCGGTTTTCAATTGTATTCCCATTCTTTATATATTCAGACTTCCTACAATAAATATATTCACCACTCACTATAAGCCGAGAACAAAAATAATTTAGGTAAGTAATGTGTGTACTGTGTATGTATTTTTTTAAGCCTAGCTATATTGCATACTTAATATAATATAGCGTAAACATGATATCAGGCTTTTATATGCATTTGAAATTGAAAAAATGGCTATAATCAACTTTACAGCAATTTTCAATTTACAGCAGTAGCCCAGAACCTAACCTGAGGTGGTGGTGAAGTGGTGCCCTCCTGTATATAAAACAAATGACCACAATAGAAATAAATCACTTCGTCTGACTTTTTTGGGTTATCCTAGGTAATTTACACACGTTACAATGCATGATAATTGTACTATATGTTGGCTTGTACCTAAATAAACGTGCTTACTTAATTACTGCACTGTAACTAAACAAAGAATAAAGCCTCAATGAAAAAGAATGCCACTGAGTATTTCAGTACAGCCTCTCCTCACTTAATGATGGAGTTCCGTTCCTAAGACCACGTCGGTAAATGAATTTGCTCGCTAAGCAAGGAGCATACTATAATGGTAGTGAGTTTGTGTCAACCATCTCTGATATTGTTTTAATGCCATCTTTGCACCATTTATAACATTTCTGGTATATTTTTAAATGTTTATACAGTAGTGTACTGTATATTGAAATAAACACAATAGAGGAAATCAGCTCCAATATACAATATTTAGGTACGCATACTGGTCAGAGAGCCCGCTGTAAGTCTGAATTATTAGTAAATGAGTACACTGCTAAGTAAGGAGAGGCTGTAGTACTCTACAGTACACCCTTAAACTTCAGAAAGTGAAATAAGCATTAATTCACATCTCTGGCCAATTCATCAAAAAAGTTACCTAGGAATTTACCTTAACCTGCCGAAGAAACTTGCTTGGCACGTGCAAGTCAACATTAACAACTTGGGAAGTAACCAGGTCATTGGTAACATTGTATGGTGACCGACTGTGCACAAGAGACTGCACTAAGTGCACTCCATCTGGAATACTGTTTGGCTCAAAACTAAACGAAACGGATCGATTCCATTTGTTAATTTTCTGTGCCTCGGCCAGGAAACCGTGGAACTTCAGAGTGTCGGTCGACCACGTCAGAGGCTCCTCCTCCAGAAACCTGGCTGCTATCTCTGTCTTCATGACATCCAAAAGAAGACTGATGACTGTATTACTCAGGTGGGCTGAAGTTTCATTCCAATCATAAATCTCAAACTGCTTGTCTAGCATAACGGAAGACAAAACAAAGTACTGTTGTGCTGCCTGAAAAAAATATTATTATATTATAATATATATATATATATATATATATATATATATATATATATATATATATATATTTATATACACACACACACACACACACACACACACACACACATACACACATACACACACACACACACACACACACACACCTACCATCCGACTTACGACCTGCTTGACATATGACCACATGACTTACGACCATGTTTTTTATGCCAACTTTCTGGGAAATAAACAACTGTTTGTGTTGTACATAGTGTTTATCCTAAACCTTAAGGTATAAAATACAGTACTAACAGCATAAAAAGTAAAGTAAAAAATGAAATACCAAAATAAAACAATAAAATAAAATCATTACATAAGTGTGATGTTGATATTCAGTAGTAAGGTTCGACTCACATCCATTTTGACTTACAACCGGTTGGTCAGAACCAAGCCTGGTCGTAAGTTGGATGGTACTTGTACACACACACACACACACACACACACACACACACACACACACACACACACACACACACACACACACACACACACACACACACACACACACACACACACAATCACACACACACACACACACACACACACAATCAATCACTCACTCACTCTGTATTATTTTATATATTTATTTAAAGAAATAACTATGGTAGCCTGAAATAAAAAAAAATCAGTACTGAACCATATTTATTTTTAAATATTAATCATTTCAGAATTATTATTACAGCGAAGGTGAACACATCAAAATATTCATGATAAGCATTTCAGCCCTATTCTACGACAGATATATCACAGGAGAAAAAAAATCCATACCTCTGTCTTAACTTCTGCATTGTATGTACACCACAGCCTTGTTGCTACCGTCTGCATTGCAACAATGATACGAGAATATGTGATGCTGGAGATGTATTCAAGTGCATCCGCAATGATTTGAAGAGCTGTCAGGACCTGAAGAACCTCCATTTCAATTCTAACAGGAAGCTCAACTACAATCTCTGCTAAATGGTCACGAGCACATGACTTTAGGAGATTCACCTTCACAAAGAAATCCCCGTTATTCTGCGATGAATATTTACTGCTGTAGGATGGGTCGTCTGCAGCTACAAGACTATCTTTGCAGCTGGTTCTATAGAACAAAATAGTCAAAATGTTGTCAAAGACAGTTTGAGTTACATCACTTGAGTGAAGAAGGTTGAGCTCCCATGCGAGAGTTCTTACTTGCTGCAATAAAAGAGAGGGGCTCTCATTTTGTATGGTGGATATCTCTTGAAATATTGATAATATACCATCTCCAGTCGTAGATCTTGGGTAAACTACAAAGTCCATTACAACAGGATATTTATACGAAACGCCTTTCCCGTCGATGGCTTTAATCGACACATAAACTTTATAGTCATTGGCCTCCAGGCCTGAAGGTAGAGAAAAATCAATTGATGTTCTTGCACCATAATAGAAAACTGTTTTATCAGGCCACAAGAAGGAGTAGCTCCATTCAAGTAAGACTGGATAATACTGTCCACGCACCTCATCACACGAACCTCGAAACCAAGACCCTTTTCTGTTTGCCAGCGGTGTTATTCGACAGTTTTCCTAAAAAGTTAGAAAATACATTTGCAATATAAAACAGTATTCAAATAATATATATCTATATCTATATATAATATATACATATATATATACAGTGGATCCCCGGTTAACGATATTTTTCATTCCAGAAGTATGTTCAGGTGCCAGTACTGACCGAATTTGTTCCCATAAGGAATATAGTGAAGTAGATTAGCCCATTTCAGACCCCCAAACATACACATACAAATGCACTTACATAAATACACTTACATAATTGGTCGCATTGGGAGGTGATCATTAAGCGGGGGTCCACTGTACATATTTTTTTTTTTCAACAAACCGGCCATATCCCACCAAGGCAGGGCGGCCCAAAAAGAAAAACGAAAGTTTTCCTTTTTAAATTTAGTAATTTATACAGGAGAAGGGGTATATATATATATATATATATATATATATATATATATATATATATATATATATATATAATATATATATATATATATATATATATATATATATATATATATGTATATATATATATATACATATGTATATATATATATATATATATATACATATAGGTAGTAGGTTGGTAGACAGCAACCGCCCAGGGAGGTACTACCGTCCTGCCAAGTGAGTGTAAAACGAAAGCCTGTAATTGTTTTACATGATGGTAGGATTGCTGGTGTCCTTTTTTCTGTCTCATGAACATGCAAAATTTCAAGTACGTCTTGGTACTTCTACTTACACTCAGGTCACACTACACATACATGTACAAGCGTATATATACATACCCCTCTGGGTTTTCTTCGATTTTCTTTCTAGTTCTTGTTCTTGTTTATTTCCTCTTATCTCCATGGGGAAGTGGAACAGAATTCTTCCTCCGTAAGCCATGCGTGTTGTAAGAGGCAACTAAAATGCTGGGAGCAAGGGGCTAGTAACCCCTTCTCCTGTATATATTACTAAATTTGAAAGGAGAAACTTTGTTTTTTTCTTTTGGGCCACCCTGCCTCGGTGGGATACGGCTGGTATGTTGAAAGAAAAGAAGATATATATATATATATATATATATATATATATATATATATATATATATATATATATATATATATATATATATATATATATATATATATATATATAATATATATATATATATATATATATATATATATATATATATATATATAATGTATGTATGTATGTATATATATGTATGCAAAACAACCACTCTGAAAGAATAGAGAAATTCCAAGCGCTTTCGTGACTACTCACATTATCAAGGAACTATATAGTTCCTTGATAATGTGAGTAGTCACGAAAGCGCTTGGAATTTCTCTATTCTTTCAGAGTGGTTGTTTTGCATATTCTTAAATCACCTGTTTACTGTGATCTTATTGCATATATATGTATGTATGTATATAGATATATATATATATATATATACACACACACACACACACACACACACAGTAGGGCCCCACTTTTCAGCATTTCGCCTTACGGTGTTCTGCTAATACGGTGATCTCATATTATGACCAAAACTTTCTGTATGGCAAGTGGTCTTTCAAATACAGCACGCGCCACTTGGTTTGTTTACATTCTCCATGAGCACATCTCTCAATTATGTAATAATAATCACTCTTGGACACATTAAATGTTTAATTTTACATCAATATAGACATTTTCATGAATTCACCTATGAGATTGTCTTCAAAATTATATAAGAAACACATTACATAGCATATAAACATGCTGTTTATATGCTATGGAGGTGTGGTTGCCGGGTGGAGGGAAAACATTACGTAATAGTAATAATAATCACTCTTGGGCGCATTAAATGTCTTATTTTACATTAATATAGACATTTTATGTGTGGGTGGGGTTGGGTGGTGAGGGCTGCCCTTCCTGGCTACCCATACTTCCCAACCTGACTTCATACAAATAAAACTCACCTCTCACCCTACATTAAGAATACAAATATTTTAAGGTAATTAATAAGTGTACTATATGTGCATTTTATAGCTCTAGGGAGCTTAATGTTGTAGTAGGTACAAGTGGCCAGGCAGGATGCCATACCTCCCACATGAGTTTCTACAAATAAACACCTTTCACCTCTCACCCTACATTAAGACCATTAAGACTACAAATATTTTAAGGTAAGTAATACATGTACTGTATATGCATTTTATCACTCTAGGGAGCTTTAAGCATTATTGTATAGTATGTGTGAGTGGGGTGGCCAGAAGGGCTACCACACCTGACCTCTTAGAGTAAATACTACTCACCTTTTGCCCTATATTAAAATTACAAATATTTTGAGGTAAATAATGGATGTACAGTGGACCCCCGCATAACGATGGCATCGCATAGCGATTTTTCCGCATAACGATTACTTTTATCGCAAAATTTTTGCCGCGCATACCGATTAAAAACCCGCATACCGATTTTCGTCCGAGACGCGTCCAATGTGCCCTCAGCCAGCCTCACATGTGCCGCTCCGTCCCATTGTTTACCAGCCAGCCTCCGCGGTAACATCCAAGCATACACTCGGAATATTTCGTATTATTACAGTATTTTCGGTGCTGTTTCTGGAAAATAAGTGACCATGGGCCCCAAAAGCTTCTAGTGCCAACCCTGTGGTAAAAAGGGTGAGAATTAGTATGGAAATTAAGAAAGATTTTGAAGGGTTTGGGGCTAACCCTGAGAAGCCTATGCCAGTTGTGGAATCCATTGTGCCTACTTCAAAGATTAAGGAAATGTGTGCACAGTGGGTTGAACTGCAAACCTTTATAGATGAAAATCACCCTGACACAGCTGTTGCAAGCCGTGCTGTTGACTATTTCAATGACAATGTTGTGGCCCATTTTAGACAAATCGTAAAGGAACGGGAGGTACAGAGCTCTATGGACAGATTTGTTGTGCGACAGAGGTCCAGTGACTCTCAAGCTGGTCCTAGTGGCATTAAAAGAAGAAGGGAAGTAACCCCGGAAAAGGACTTGCTACCTCAAGTCGTAATGGAAGGGGATTCCCCTTCTAAACAGTAAGAAGATAATGCTCTCCCCTCCTCCCATCCCATCAATCATCACCAGATCTTCAATAAAAGTAAGTGTCATTTAATTGTGCATGCCTTTTTCAGTTTGTGTGTATTAAAATTAACATTTCATGTGGTAAAAAAAAATTTTTTTCATACTTTTGGGCGTCTTGCACGGATTAATTTGATTTCCATTATTTCTTATGGGGAAAATTCATTCGCATAACGATTATTTCGCATAACGATGAGCCCTCTTGCACGGATTAAAATCGTTAACCGGGGGTCCACTGTACTGTGTGTGTATTTTACTTTTTAATGCCTAGTTCTATTGCTAACTTAATATAAGTTAGTGCAAACTCATTATCTGGCATTTATATGCATTTATAAATGGTAAAAAATGGAGTTCTGCTCTCCTGCGAAGTCTGCTTTCCGGCAGTAGCCTGGAACCTGACCTGCCGAATAAGAGGGGCCCTACTGTACACGCGCACACACACACACACACACACACACAGTAGGGACCCACTTATATGGCAGGTTAGGTTCCAGGCTACTGCCGGAAAGCGGACTTCGCCAGAAAGCAGAACGCCATTTGTTTCCACTTATAAGTGTCAGATAATAAGTTTACACTAACATATATTAAGTTAGCAATAAAACAAGGCATTAAAAAACAATAAAAAGTAAAATACACACACAGTACAATCATTACTTACCTCAAAATATTTGTTGTCTTAATGTAGGGTGAGAAGTGAGTAATGTTTATTGTAAGAAGCTAGGTGTGGTATGTGTGCATGGGGCTCAACAACAAGTAACCATCTCAGACCACTAATTACCCAACAAAAGGCTGCAGTTAGAATGATAACAAATTCTCACTATAGGCAGCACACTCCACCAATATTCAATACACTAAACCTATTCACCATACAAAACATTCATACTTATTACTGCACCTATTACATACATAGAACACTTAACTCTGATATTAACCCTCCCCTTAAACATCTCCTTGCCAACCTCAACAGAACACATGACCATAACACAAGGCACAGATCACTCTTTGATGTTCCTCGTGTCCATCTCACACTATGCAAAAACTCAATGCACATAAAAGGCCTTAAAATCTGGAACTCATTACCTGTAAATATAAAAGAAACACTACCTGTTTATAAATTCAAGTCTCTTCTCAAAGATCACTTACTCACCCAAAACCAAATAAAATATGAATAACTGAACCTTAAAAATTGTATATCTTAAATGTTTCTCACAATTATATCACATAAATGTTAAACCTAAAACCAATCTAACTTTATTATTTTTTTAATACCTACCTAACAGAATACTCCATTCTACTGAATGTACAACAATGCATACAACCATATGACCTGTCTTTGTAATACTCACTTGTGCTTTATAGTAATCTGTTTACATTAAAGTTTTATCACCGATGTCATCATTGCTTAGTTCATCTTAAGTTAATTTTAAGCCAGCCCGTAATGCTATGCATAGTATAAGTGGCTTTGGCATACTGCTCTTTTCTGTATTTTTTGTACCTCTGTATGTGTGCACAAATTTTTAAATAAATAAATAAATAAATAAATAAATAGTAGCCAACCAGGCCACCCCACCCCACCCCACCCACATGTAATATACTTTGACATTTAAAGAGCCCTAGAGTGATAAAATGCATTTAGTGTACACTCATTACTTACCTTAAACTATTTGTAGTCTTAATTAACTATTTGTGGTCTTAATACAGGGTGCAAGGTGAATAGTAGGGTAAGTAGGTATTGAAGTGTAGTAGGTATCGTAACCCCATCTTTAAGACTAATACGACACTCTTGGTGATTTTAACCCTTTGACTTTCGGTCGTATATATACGTCTTACGAGCCACCATGTTTGACGTATACTCAAAAATTCTAGCGGCTTCAAATCAAGCAGGAGAAAGCTGGTAGGCCCACATGTGAGAGAATGGGTCTGTGTGGTCAGTGTGCA